AATAGCTACGTTATCTCTTTGACGCTATCTTGACTTTTGTACATAAATAAAAATAGTTTTTTTCCTGCTACAAAAATACTAATTAAATCTTAATATTTTAAAAAATTAACAAAATTCTACAGATTGTTTTATTTAGAAAAATAATTATATTATTAAAAAAGATATAATTTAAGGTAAAATAAAATAATAATAAAACTGATTGAACGACAAACAAAAACAACGAGTTTTGCCAGAATGATAAGCAGTAACAGGAATCGATAATTTTCCCAAGAGTTTTTGGTACCAATTGTTTCCAAATGTATAATAAACATGTGCTAAGAAATTACTAAATAAACATATTAAACGGTATCAGAAACAAAACGTAAATAATTGCTTTAAAAATGTCTTTGAACAAGGAAATCGCCATGGTCAAGTTGCCACAGTCGCGTAGTGTGTGGGCCATATGTATGGCCTCATTTTTACTATGCTTTATATTCTATTATTTCTATGGTGGTTATTTAACAATGGCCTTAATTGCTTCTGTGTTATTGGGTGGGTATTTGTGATATAATTTCCCGAAAAAACGTTTTTTTAATTAAATTGACTTTCAGGTATCTTTTACTATGCCCAAGATGTTTTACTCTATCATCCCGATTTGCCCGCTAATTCTCGCATCTATATACCCATACCCACCATGCATAATCTACCTCATGAGACGGTCAGCATACGCACACCCGACAAGGTGGTCTTGCATGCTTTCTGGGTGGCGCAACCAGAGGAGCGTTCTAAAACATGTCCCACATTTGTGTATTTTCATGGCAATGCCGGTAATATGGGTCATCGCATGCAAAATGTTTGGGGCATTTTCTATCATTTGAATTGCAACATTTTAATGGTGGAATATAGAGGTTATGGCCTATCTACGGGGGCTCCCAGTGAAAAGGGACTGGTAACCGATGCTCGTGCCGCTATAGATTACCTTTACACCCGTCATGATCTAGATCATACACAAATTGTGGTATTTGGCCGCTCACTGGGTGGTGCGGTCGCCGTAGATGTTGCCGCCGATACCGTGTATGGCCAGAAGATTATGTGTGCCATTGTAGAGAATACATTTACCAGTATACCGGAGATGGCGGTAGAATTGGTGCATCCTTCAGTAAAATTTATACCTCATATATTGTATAAAAATAAGGTGTGTGTTTGCCGAAGGTTTTATAACCACAGTTTTTGTTTTAATTGTTTCTTATTCTTGTGTTGTTTCTCAGTTCCATTCATTATCGAAAATATCGAAATGTTCAGTGCCATTTTTATTTGTATCCGGTTTGGCGGATAATCTAGTGCCACCACGTATGATGCGAGCCTTATATACGGCCTGTGGTAGTGATCGTAAACGTTTATTGGAATTTGTTGGTGGTTCTCACAATGATACCTGGATAGTTGATGGGTAAGTTGTATAGTTTCTAGTTCCAGCTCAGTTCTAGTTTCGTTCTAGTTTATGTTTTGTTTAGTACTAGTTCAGTTCCATTTCAGTACTATGTATTTCAGTTCTCGTTAAATTCTATTTCAGTTCTAGTTCAATTCTAGTTCAGTTCTAGTTCAGTTCTAGTTCAGTTCTAGTTCAGATCTAGTTCAGTTCTAGTTCAGTTTTAGTTCAGTTCTAGTTCAGTTCTAGTTCAGTTCTAGTTCAGTTCTACTTCAGTTCTAGTTCAGTTCTAGTTCAGTTCTAGTTCAGTTCTAGTTCAGTTCTAGTTCAGTTCTAGTTCAGTTCTAGTTCAGTTCTAGTTCAGTTCTAGTTCAGTTCTAGTTCAGTTCTAGTTCAGTTCTAGTTCAGTTCTAGTTCAGTTCTGGTTCAGTTTTCGTTCAGTTCTAGTTCAGTTCTAGTTCAGTTCTAGTTCAGTTCTAGTTCAGTTCTAGTTCAGTTCCAGTTCAGTTCAAGTTCAGTTCTAGTTAAGTTCTAGTTAAGTTCTAGTTCAGTTCTAGTTCAGTTCTAGTTCAGCTCTAGTTCAGTTCTAGTTCAGTTCTAGTTAAGTTCTAGTTCAGTTCTAATTTAGTTCTAGATCATTTTTAGTTCAGTTCTAGATCAGTTCTAGTTCAGTTCTAGTTCAGTTCTACTTCAGTTCTAGTTCAGTTGTAGATCATTTTCAGTTCTAGTCCAGTCCTAGTTTAGTCCTAGTTCTGTTCTAGATCAGTTCTAGTTAATCTAGTTCAGTCCTAGTTTGGTCCTAGTTCAGTTCTAGTTCAGTTCTAGATCAGTTCTAGTTCAGTTTGAGTTCAATTCTATTTCAATTCCAGTTCAGTTCTAGTTCTGTTCAATTTAAGTTCTTGTTCAATTCTAGTTGAAATCTAGTTCATTTCTAGTTTAGTTCTAGTTCAGTTCTAGTTCAGTTCTAGTTCAGTTCTAGTTCAGTTCTAGTTCAGTTCTAGTTCAGTTCTAGTTCAGTTCTAGTTCATTTCAGTTCTAGTTCATTTCAGTTCAGTTCTAGTTCAGTTCAGTTCTAGTTCAGTTCTAGTTCAGTTCTAGTTCAGTTCTAGTTCAGTTCTAGTTCAGTTCTAGTTCAGTTCTAGTTCAGTTCTAGTTCAGTTCTAGTTCAGTTCTAGTTCAGTTCTAGTTCAGTTCTAGTTCAATTCTAGTTCAGTTCTAGCTCAATTTTAGTTGAGTTCTAGTTCCGTTGTAGTTCAGTGTTAGTTCAGTGTTAGTTCAGTTTTAGTTCAATTCTAGTTCTAGTTTAGATCTAGTTCAGTTCTAGGTCAGTTCTGGTTCAGTTCTAGTTCAGTTCTAGTTGAGTTCTAGTTTAGATTTAGTTCAGTTCTGGTTGAGTTCTAGTTTTGTTCTAGTTCTGTTCTAGTTCAGTTCTAATTCAGTTCCAGTTCAGTTCTAGTTCAATTCTAGTTCAGTCCTAGTTTATTTTTAGTTCAGTTCTTGTCCAGTTCTGGTTCAGTTCTAGTTCTAGTTATGTTTTAGTTCTAATTCTGTTCTAGTTTTATTCTAGTTCTGTCCTAGTTCTGTTCTAGTTCAGTTCTAATTCAGTTCTAGTTCAATTTTAGTTCAGTTCTAGTTTATTTTTAGTTCAGTTCTAGTCCAGTTCTATATTGAACTTAATTTTCTTAATATTTTCCATTACAGCTATTACCAAGGTATAAAAACCTTTCTCAACGAATGTCAAAATATAGTGCCACCCTTGGAAAAGCCTCCAGAAAAGAGTAATGTTTGGAATGAAATCCAAGATGTTTAAAACGTTTTTTTTTTAATTTTTCAACATATACTACTGTAACTGTTAAGTTTTATAACTATCTATTTATTCTTAAATTTTGTTAAGAATTTATATGCATTTTTTAACTAAATTTTAATTAATTTTATATTTATTCTTATTTTAAAAAGCATATAGAATACTATACTAAAAACGCCTCTATTATTAAACACTAATACGTTCTCTAACTTTAAACTTCCTACTTACTTACTTACATACCTTCAACAAAAGCTAATATGTATGCTTATATATATGTTAACTGCCAAAATGAAATGATTAATTTGTTAATAATTAACGAAAAATCTGTTGTTAAATAGCTGAGAGATCATACGAAAAGATCTCAATGTCGAATAGGGAAACATTTTATTTCTTTATTGTATAAAAACGTTAAAAAAGAATTAAAACATTGAGAGAGGCTGTGGGAAACATAAAGAAAACAAATTCTATTATTAAAATAAAGCTTTAAATAATGTAAATATTTTAGTTTTTTAAAAAATGATATTGTTAAACGAGATTTTTTTTTTTTAACGAAGTATTAAAATCTAAATGAATAGTAAAAAGATTAAACTAAAAACACTAAAGCAATTATTATACATAAATATATATATAATAAATAAACTAAACAAATTAAAAGAACATCAAATAAATTTTATTTCATTTTTATAACAAATTAATAATTTATTTCAGTACAAATCTAAAGCTAAAAATAAGAACTATTCAAAATCACTATCCTTACTATCATCTATATAATCTTCTTCCTCTGATTCTTCGGATTCATCTGATGATAAATCTTTAGCTTTATTCTGTACTTTAACTCCTGGAACTTCTTCACCCTTTTCACTTTCTTGTGAGTCTAATTTTCTTTTCACCTCTGCCTGAGAACGATGATGAAATACAAACGATATACATTTACTAGTTTGCCAAGCTTGTGATAAAGTACTATCCGGTAGACCTTTATTATTGGAACAATGATACCACTGTGATAAATGCGAAGTACAATCGGTGTCATCGGGCGGTGGTTGGGTTTGTATGTTATTAACACAGCGTTTGCATTTTAATCTGATAAATTTAAAAACGTTATTGTTAGATAATTTCAAAGTATTTAAAGTTCTAAATTATTACTTATTATGGGTATCTGATAAAATGTCGGCCTCATAACTGAACAGATCTTTTAAATCGTCACGAGTGAAATGTTTTTCCTCACTTTCGTTGTTATCGATGATCGTACTGGATAAAGATTTTTGTGCGTTTGACGTTGTAGGATTTTCTCTTCAATGGAACCGGTCTGTAAGAAGAATAGAAATTCGAAAAAGAAAATGTATTATAAAAAAAGCTTTTTAAACTTTTGTACAAAAAAAAGCTTTTTTAAGCTTTTTAACAGAAATGTTTTTTAAGTTTTTTTTTAACGAAAAAGCCCTTTTTAAGCCTTTTTAACAAAAAAGCTTTTTTTTAGCTTTTAACAAAAAAACTTTTTAAGCTTTTTAATAAAAAAGGTTTTTAAAGATTTTTAACAAAAAAGTTTTTCAAGCCTTTTTAACGAAAAAGCCTTTTTTAGCTTTTGACAAAAAAGCTTTTTTAAAGTTTTTTTTACAAGAAAGTTTTTTTAAGCTTTTTATAAAAATACTTTTTCAACAAAAAAACCTTCTATTACAAAAAGCCTTTTTTTAAGCTTGAACAAATTTTAAGCTTTCTAACAAAATAATAATAAAAAGCTTTTTCTAAAAAAAAAACTTTTTTATTAAAAAAATTATATTTAAAGTTTAGTTTAGTTTGTCTATTAAAAAGTTTATAAAAGTTTTTCTGTTAAAAATCCTTTAAAATTCTTTTCGGTAAAAAAGCTTATAAAAGTTTTTCAGTAAAAAAGCTTATAAAATCTTTGCTGTTAAAAAGCTTATACAAGTTTTTCAGTAAAAAAAAGCTTATACAAGCTTTTCTATTAAAAAGCTTATAAAAGCTTTTCCGTTAAAACACTTTTTTGTTAAAAAAAATTATAAAAGCTTTTTCGTTAAAAAGCTTATAAAAGCTTTTCTGTTATAAATGTTGTTTAGTAAAAAAGCTTTTAAAATCTTTGCTATTAAAAAGCTTATAAAATTTTTTAGCAAATGAGCTTTTTCGTCAAAAGGTTTATAAAAGCTTTTTTCTGTTAACGAGCTTATAAAAGCTTTTCTATTAAAAAGTTTATCTAAAAAGCTTATAAAATCTTTACTATTAAAAAGCTTATAAAATTGTTTTCAGTAAATGAGCTTATAAAAGTTTTTCTGTTAAAAGGCTTAAAAAAGCTTTTCTGTTAAAGAGCATACAAAAGCTTTTCTATTAAAAAGTTTATAAAAGATTTTCTGTTAAAAATCTTATAAAAGTTTTTCAGTAAAAAAGCTTATAAAATATTTGCTGTTAAAAAGCTTATAAAATCTTTGCTGTTAAAAAGCTTATAAAATCTTTGCTGTTAAAAAGCTTATAAAAGCATTTATGTTAAAAAGCTTTTCTGTTTAAAAGCTATTCTATTAAAAAGTTTATGAAAGCTTTTTCTGTTAAAAAACTTTTAAGTGGGAAAGCTTTTAAAATAGTTGCTGTTAAAAAGCTTAAAAATCGTATAAAAACTTTTTTGTTAAAAAAAACTTACAAAAGCTAAACAAGCTTTTCTGTTAAAAATCTTAAAAAAGCTTTTATCGTCTTTGATAAAACACTTTTTTATAAAAAGCTTTTTCTTAAAATTTTCCCAAACTATTTTCTCACCAAAAAAAAAAAAAACACTAAGAACACTACTCACCGCCACCAAACGATATATAAAACAGGCTTTCTTCTGGCCATCTCTCCAAATACGAGCCATCGCCTGTTCATCATTGGCCGGATTCCAATCGGGATCAAACATAAACAGACGATTGGCACCAATCAAATTCAAACCACAGCCACCAGCCTTAGAACTCAGCATAAAAAGAAAACAATCAACATCGGGATCATTAAATTGATCTACAACTTTGCTGCGCTTTTTAATGGTCATCGAACCATCCAAACGGACAAAGGGATATTTTCTGGAAATTTTTTAATAAATTATTTTGTCATTGATTTGTTTAAGTGTTTTTCGCTTTACCTTTTCCTGGCCAACTGCTCAAATAAATCTAAAGTTTGGGTATAATTTGATATTAAAACTACTTTATCATCGGTATTGGCCCTAATGGTGGCCAACATAAAATCCAATAACATAAATTTGCCACTAAATTCTGGATTGAATTCTCTAAAAGTTTATAAATGAGAAAAACAAATATTAAGACTTAAGAGAACTGAAAGATATAACAAAATCTTACTTGGTTTTATAATTGGCCGGCAGAACGTTTTGTGAATTTTCAAAACCATTTTCTCTGGCTATAATTTTGTCATAGATTAAATCCGGATGACTGCATAGTTTCTTTAAAGTTGTTATATCAGCCAAAGCTGTTAAGGTGGACGATTTTTCCTGGCAATCTTTGGAAGTTATACAAAAGTTATTTTCTTTATAGTTTCCTATTACAATTCAAATTACCTTGCAAACTCTTCCTTATCTTATCAGATTTTAAGAAATTCCTATATAACTGCAATTGTATGGCGGTCATTTTGGCACAAATCACCATTTCAAATTTAACGGGCAAATATTTGGTCAATATTTGATTTGTTCTTCTAATAATACATTGATTTACTATGGCTATTAGCTCCTGAGTCTTTTCCACAGCTCTTTGCCGTTCCTTATCACTAGAATCGGCATTTTGTCCCCGTAAAATGGCATTTTCATAACAGCGTTTAAACTCCGAGGCTGTGCCCAACATATTAGGATTAACAAAGTTCACTAAACTGAAATACTCGGTAAGATCATTTTGTATGGGTGTGCCCGATAGTAAAACACGACGCTTAGTTTTCAAACCCATTAAAGCCTGATAGGTAAGATTATCACTGTTTTTAAGGCGGTGACCTTCATCACATATAACCATGCCGATTTCATTGCGACACAAAATCTCTGCATAAATACGAAACGTTTCATAGGATATTATCAGCACCGGAGTACCACAACGTTGACTTGTATTATAGGCAAACTGTTCTAAGCTTTTAATGGTATCCTCTTTAGAGCCACCTTCCATGGCTAAACAATGCATACGGCCCTGCAGCCATTTGTGAAATTCCTTTTCCCAATTTTTCACCAAAGATGAGGGACACACTATAATAACTTTTGAAATAGTGGGTTTACAATCGGGACCTTGCCTTAGCAAAGTCCAGGCTAAAGTGACACATTGTAGAGTTTTGCCCAAACCCATTTCATCCGCCATAATGCAACCATTGAAATCACCCTTTTTACCTTCCACACATTCGTACATAAAACGTACTCCCTCTCTTTGATGGGGACGCAAAATATTACTTAAAATAGGATCCACCACAACGTGTACCAATATTTTATTAGGATCCATTGACAAACGTTCATGTTCACTATAGTTAGGTGGGCTATACAATACTAAAGCATTACAGGCATAGGGATCGTGTAGAGCCTTTCTAATGGTAGATCTGCGTAAACCCAAACATCGATTGCCACTATTGTAGTCTGGCACATAATTGGCAATGGGTACTTTAAAAGGTTTTGCTAAAATCCTGGTTATAGCCAGTTCATAATCACTCTGTGGCAGGGAGATTAGTGGTGTAGTTTGTGATAATGGCGGAAATCTTTGTATTTGAACATTTTCCTGGACACAAGTACGTTTACGTTTATTTTGAAAGGGTGTAGTAAAATTTAGACTAGGTTTTAGTTTATTGGAGTTATTTTGGCTAGGAGCCAAACTGCGACGCTAAAATTTATAAGAAATTTAAAAAATTACATATTAAAAAAGTAAAAAAACATAAATTTTTCATCTACAAATTACCATTTTCACCAAGTTTGTTATTGTTTTGAAAAATCCGCTCTAAAAAAAAGTAAACAAACTTTTGACAGCTTAAGATGAGAACAGTTAAAATATAAGCTGCCACCTTACAAAAAGGATAACTTAATAATGATGCCACAAAAAACGCTTAACAAATATGTAAAGTTCGGTTTTAATTTAATTCTATATGAGTTCTAGTTTAGTTTTGTTCTGGTTCTGGTCTAGTTCTGTTTTAGTTCTGTTCTAGTTCTGTTCTAGTTCTGTTCTAGTTCTGTTCTAGTTCTGTTCTAGTTCTGTTCTAGTTCTGTTCTAGTTCTGTTCTATTCTAGTTCTGTTCTAGTTCTGTTCTAGTTCTGTTCTAGTTCTATTCTAGTTCTGTTCTAGTTCTGATGTAATTCAGTTTGAGTTATATTCTTATTCAGTACTAGTTTAGTTCAAGTTCTGTTCTAGGACAGTTCTAGTTCAGTTCTACTTCTGTTCAAATTCAGTTGTATAGCTATATAAGCCTATAACTTTGTAAAACATAACAAGTTAGAATGCTATATTCGGCTATGCCGAATCTTAAATACCCTCCACCTGCAAGCTACTTTTTATTAAAACTCAATGCATTTTATAAATTGTTAAAGTTTAAGGGCCGGATTAAGTTCATACTAAGGATTTTACTTAAATATGTATGTACTTTAGTACTAAAGTACTTTATTTCCCCTACGGAGAACTGTAAAGCCCTGCATATTTTTTTGTTTCCGTAATGACGATACTATTTATCATTTAGTAATACATTATGCGTGTATGTAACTAATTTTGATTAGGTCCAGAAAAAATTGTATTAGTGATTTTCAGATACAGACATTCTACGGGTGCTATGACCTATTATGTTCCGATACTAAAAAATTGCGTAGAACGGCCTTATATGGGACCAATAATGGGCCAATTCGAAAAAATTAAGCAAAATGATTTATCTATACACATAACATACTCATGTCGAATTTTATCCGGATATAATAATTTAATAATATATTATGTGGTATTAAGTGATTTTCAGAAGTGAACCTTATATGGGAGCTTTGACCAATTATGGACCGATAATGAAAAATTTCCGTATAACAATTAATATATACAAAAAACACATTCATGTCAAATTTTATCCAGATAACTTTTCGGAAGTGGACCTTGTATGGGATTTATAACCAATTATGGACCGATGTGGACAAATTTCGCTGTATGATTTATATATACACAAAACATATTCAAGTCGAATTTTAGACCGATTTATTAATTAATGAAATATAAACGTTTTAGTTATTTTCGGATGTGGACCTTATATGGGAGCTATGACCAATTACTCCCCGATCCGGAAAAAACTTCGTAGAGTAATTCATATATACACAAAACATATTCATGTGGAATTTTATCCCGATAGCTTTATTTATCAATTAATTATGCTCGTTTTTCGGATGTGGACCTTATATGGGAGCTATGACCAATTGAGAACTGATCCGGAAAAAATTTCGCTGAATGATTTATATATATTCAAAATATATTAACTTCGAGTTTTATCCCGATAGCTTTATTAATTAATGAAATATGTGCGATTAAGTGATTTTCGAAAGAAGACTTTATATGGGAGCTATGACCAATTATGGACCGATACGGAAAGAAAAATCGTGGAATGATTTATATATACACAAAACATATTCTTGTCTAATTTTATTCCTATAGCTTTATTTATCAATGAATTATGCGCGTTTAAGTGATTTTCTGATGTGGACCTTATATGGGAGCTATGACCAATTATGGACCGATCAAAAAAATATTTCGTAGAGTGATTCACATATACACAAAACATACTCATGTCGAATTTTAACCCGATAGCTTTATTTATCAATGAAATATAAACATTTAAGTGATTTTCGAAAGGGGACATTATATGGGAGCTATGACCAATTGTGGACCGATACATATTTAAGTCCGTAGTATGATTCCTGTTCATATAATGTTAATATATACAAAATTGTGTGTTGATACCGATATATTTGAGCGAGTTATTAACGATGAATTCATTTCCGGGAATATGTACCTTTGTATGGGGGCTATGGGAAATCTTGAATCGATTGTCACAATTTTGAACGTAATTAATCCCTGGATGATAAAAATAATGTGTGACTTTCGAAAGGGGACATTATATGGGAGCTATGACCAATTGTGGACCGATACATATTTAAGTCCGTAGTATGATTCCTGTTCATATAATGTTAATATATACAAAATTGTGTGTTGATACCGATATATTTGAGCGAGTTATTAACGATGAATTCATTTCCGGGAATATGTACCTTTGTATGGGGGCTATGGGAAATCTTGAATCGATTGTCACAATTTTGAACGTAATTAATCCCTGGATGATAAAAATAATGTGTGACTAAATTCATCGAATTATCTTCGGTAGTTTCTGAGAAAACTACTCAAGAATTAGGAAAAAAACTTAATTTTTTTCGAGGTAGTCTGAAATTTTTACTCATAACTTTTAAAGTTGTCAACCGATTTTGCTGATTTTTAATACCAAACTGCTTAGGACAACAATGAATATTCTCAGTGAATTTGGTTGATTTTATTTGCTTAGTTTTAACGTGAGCGTGTTTTAACCAGACAGACAGACGGACAGACGGACATAGCTAAATCGACTCAGAATTTTATAAGGACCCAGAATATATATACTTTGTTGGGTCTCAGATGAATATTTCTTGGTGTTACACACGGAATGACAAACTTATATATACCCTCTATCACCACTGATGGTGGTGGAGGGTATAATTATCATAACTCTCACCAAATATGATAACACAATGGAAATCGCTATAATATCTGTAAAACGCTAAAATAATAAAAATTTTCTCTACATTTGACAAACAATACGCATTATTGACAACACTTTAACAGAACTAGTTGAGTTGTCATTAGAAAAGTAAAAATATAACATTTTTCTTTAGAGAAAAAATTCATAAAATTACCAAAAATTAATAATTATTTTAATATAAAATTATTAAAAACATAAAATTAAACATATAATAATACGAAAATCCATCAAAATGACTAAATTTTCGTGCTGACAAAGCAATAAAAAAGGAAAGAAATTCTCCAAAAGTGACACACTTGTAAAAGAAAGAAAAAAACCAAGACTTCAGCGGCAGAGAGAAAATCTATGCAAAAAAATAAAGAAAAAATGACGGCAAAGTTTATTAAAAATATTTACTAAATAAAACTTTTTGTGGGGCCAAGAAATAGATTAAAATTTGTGATAAAACCACCAAAAGTTTTTAAATGAAAAAGATGTATGTGGCAAAAATATGAAAATGAAAAATAGTGATTAAATAAAAAACAAATGTGTTTTTCCTTTTTTCTTGCTTTGTTGCCTTGTTCTTAATTAAACAATTTAAATTAACATAAATGTATAATTAATTAATTTACAACAGTTATACTTCAGCAAAATGCTTATAAAATAATGGTATATAACAATATTTTAATAAAATGTATAAATTCAAAAGAAAAATTGTATTAAACTTACTAACAACAAAAAACAACAACAATTATTAAAGTTATTTTTTTACAAAAAAAAAGTTGAAATAAAACACGTTCAAAGTGAAGGTCAATGCAACTACCAATAATTAATACACGCAAAAAAATTAAAAACATAATAAACTTAAAATAAGTGTTTTAAACGAAAGTGCAAGTGTAAAACATTACGTTAATAAATTAACAAAAATCATGCCAAATTTTTTGAAATCTTGGGGCGTTACTAGTTGCCAAAACTCCCTTAACATATCAGCGTTAAGATTAACAACACCAATTACTACTACTACTACTTCCGTCATGTTGCCCTTGAAATTTTTAATTTCCATAATTATGGCCTTAGGCCTTTTTACCGCCTTGGTGTTAGGTGAAACCATTCCAACACAAAATATGTCAAATAAAGAACGTGAAGCTTTAAGGTAATAATTTAGTTAAACTTATTAATAAACTATATTTATAATTTGTTTATTTTTTTAATCATTTATAGAGAAGAAGCTCGTGATATGTTTTATCATGCTTATCATGCCTATATGGATAATGCCTATCCAGCAGATGAATTAATGCCCTTATCCTGTAAGGGTAGATATCGAGGTGTTACACCCTCACGTGGTGATATGGATGATATATTGGGAAAGTAAGTTTTGAATATTCTTGATCCTTAGGATTTTAATGTTGTGTGTGTGTCAGTGAAGTTATAAACCGTTTTTTAACAGCATCAGAAAAACTGCTGTTATTTGCAGAGCTAATAACATTGTAACATTTTATATTGTTTACGTTAGCAAAGACAACAACCATTCTTACTTTGTTTATTGAGCCGCAAGCTGACTGTTATTGTTACAGACTAGAATATACACTCATTTGATGTCGAGAGAAATTGTCTAAATTACTAAATTTTTATACCATGAACCTGACCGAGAAATAGTTTATGAACTAGACTATATACTAGATTATGAATTGGACTATAAACTAGATTACGAACTGATATGAAATGATACTAGAACTAGACTGGGTATTAAACTAAACTGATCTATGAACTTGAATATGACTAGAACTAGACTATAAACTAGCATATTCCAATTCTATTATAATTGAGTTCTAATTCAGTTCTAGTTTAGTTCTAGTTCAGTTCTAGTTCAGTTGTAGTTCAATTCTAGTTTAGTTCTAGTTCAGTTTAATTCAGTTCTAGTTCAGTTCTAGTTCAGTACTAGTTCAGTTCTAGTTCAGTTCTAGTCAGTTCTAGTTCAGTTCTAGTTCAGTTCTAGTTCAGTTCTAGTTCAGTTCTAGTTCAGTTCTAGTTCAGTTCTAGTTCAGTTCTATTTCAGTTCTATTTCAGTTCTAGTTCAGTTTCTAGTTCAGTTCTAGTTCAGTTCTAGTTCAGTTCTAGTTCAGTTCTAGTTCAGTTCTAGTTCAGTTCTAGTTCAGTTCTAGTTCAGTTCTAGTTCAGTTCTGGTTCAGTTCTAGTTCAGTTCTGGTTCAGTGCTGAATCAGTTCAGTTCTAGTTCAGTCAAGTTCAGTTCTAGTTCAGTTCTATTTCATTTCTAGTTCAGTTCCAGTTCAATTCTAATTCAGTTCTAGTCAGTTCTAGCTCAGTTCTAGTTCAGTTCTAGTTCAGTTCTAGTTCAGTTCTAGTTCAGTTCTAGTCAGTTCTAGTTCAGTTCTAGTTCAGTTCTAGTTCAGTTCTAGTTCAGTTCTAGTTCAGTTCTAGTTCAGTTCTAGTTCAGTTCTAGTTCAGTTCTAGTTCAGTTCAGTTCTAGTTCAGTTCTAGTTCAGTTCTAGTTCAGTTCTAGTTCAGTTCTAGTTCAGTTCTAGTTCAGTTCTAGTTCAGTTCTAGTTCAGTTCTAGTTCAGTTCTAGTTCAGTTCTAGTTCAGTTCTAGTTCAGTTCTAGTTCAGTTCTAGTTCAGTTCTAGTTCAGTTCTAGTTCAGTTCTAGTTCAGTTCTAGTTCAGTTCTAGTTCAGTTCTAGTTCAGTTCTAGTTCAGTTCTAGTTCAGTTCTAGTTCAGTTCTAGTTCAGTTCTAGTTCAGTTTAGTTCAGTTCTAGTTCAGTTCTAGTTCAGTTCTAGTTCAGTTCTAGTTCAGTTCTAGTTCAGTTCTAGTTCAGTTCTAGTTCAGTTCTAGTTCAGTTCTAGTTCAGTTCTAGTTCAGTTCTAGTTCAGTTCTAGTTCAGTTCTAGTTCAGTTCTAGTTCAGTTCTAGTTCAGTTCTAGTTCAGTTCTAGTTCAGTTCTAGTTCAGTTCTAGTTCATTCTAGTTTAGTTCTAGTTCAGTTCTAGTTCAGTTCTAGTTCAGTTCTAGTTCAGTTCTAGTTCAGTTCTAGTTCAGTTCTAGTTCAGTTCTAGTTCAGTTCTAGTTCAGTTCTAGTTCAGTTCTAGTTCAGTTCAGTTCAGTTTCTAGTTCAGTTCTAGTTCAGTTCTAGTTCAGTTCTAGTTCAGTTCTAGTTCAGTTCTAGTTCAGTTCTAGTTCAGTTCTAGTTTAGTTCTAGTTCAGTTCTAGTTCAGTTCTAGTTCAGTTCTAGTTCAGTTCTAGTTCAGTTCTAGTTCAGTTCTAGTTCAGTTCTAGTTCAGTTCTAGTTCAATTCTAGTTCTAGTTCAGTTCTAGTTCAGTTCTAGCTCAGTTTTAGTTCAGTTCTAGTTCAGTTCTAGCTCAGTTTTAGTTCAGTTCTAGTTCAGTTCTAGTTCAGTTCTAGTTCAGTTCTAGTTCAGTTCTAGTTCAGTTCTAGTTCAGTTCTAGTTCAGTTCTAGTTCAGTCAGTTCTAGTTCAGTTCTAGTTCAGTTCTAGTTCAGTTCTAGTTCAGTTCTAGTTCAGTTCTAGTTCAGTTCTAGTTCAGTTCTAGTTCAGTTCTAGTTCAGTTCTAGTTCAGTTCTAGTTCAGTTCTAGTTCAGTTCTAGTTCAGTTCTAGTCAGTTCTAGTTCAGTTCTAGTTCAGTTCTAGTTCAGTTCTAGTTCAGTTCTAGTTCAGTTCTAGTTCAGTTCTAGTTCAGTTCTAGTTCAGTTCTAGTTCAGTTCTAATTCAGTTCTAGTTCAGTTCTAGTTCAGTTCTAGTTCAGTTCTAGTTCAGTTCTAGTTCAGTTCTAGTTCAGTTCTAGTTCAGTTCTAGTTCAGTTCTAGTTCAGTTCTAGTTCTAGTTCAGTTCTAGTTCAATTCTTGTTCAGTTTTAGTTCTAGAATGCACTTTGATATTATTATTTATTAAGGATTTCCTCTCTCTTTAAATTTATTGCAACAACCACGTATGTCTTTTAGAATCAATTGTTTTCATTTTTAAGTGTCCAGATAAGATTTCTTGTACCAACATTTGATTACTTATATGATACTCGTAACATTCTAGCGCAGCATTTTTTTAATTATATACTCTTATAAAGTAGATAAGAAATAACTTAAATGTTTGTTTTATTTTTAGCTTTTCTATGACTTTAGTTGATACACTCGATACTTTAGTTCTATTAGGAGATTTTGCTGAATTTGAACATGGCGTTAAACTGGTTATACGCGATGTCCAATTTGATAGTGATATTATTGTATCGGTTTTTGAAACCAATATACGTATGATGGGTGGTCTACTATCGGCCCATATATTAGCTGAATATGTACAAAAGAAGGCACAAGTAATGCCCTGGTATAAGGGAGAACTGTTGGAGATGGCCCGAGATTTGGGTTATCGTTTATTGCCAGCATTTAATACCTCAACGGGTATACCACATGCTAGGGTGAATTTACGTTATGGCATGAAAGATGAACAGTTGAAGAAATCAAGGGAAACGTGTACCGCATGCGCGGGTACTATACTATTGGAATTTGCAGCTTTGTCAAGATTAACGGGTGAGTTGTAAAGTGGTGGTGTGAGGTTAAGGAAATATGTAATAAATTGGTTTTCATTTAGGTGATCCTATATTCGAGGTTAGAGCTCATGCTGCCATGGATGCCTTATGGAAATTGCGTCATCGGGGGTCTGATCTTATGGGCACTGTTTTAAATGTTCACTCTGGCGATTGGGTGCGTCGTGATTCAGGCGTTGGTGCTGGCATAGATTCCTATTATGAATACCTTTTCAAATCCTATGTGCTTTTGGGTGATGACAAATATTTAGCACGTTTTAATCGTCACTACAATGCTGTCATGAAATATGTTAGTGAAGGACCCATGCTCTTAGATGTTCTAATGCATCGTCCTCATGCCAAATCTCGCAACTTTATGGATGCTTTATTAGCCTTTTGGCCGGGTTTGCAAGTTTTATCGGGTGACCTTAAACCGGCGGTACAAACACATGAAATGTTATATCAGGTCATGCAAATGCATACCTTCATACCAGAAGCATTTACCATAGATTTTCAAATACACTGGGGTCAACATCATCTAAGACCGGAATTTATAGAATCAACCTATTTCTTATATCGTGCCACAGGAGATCATCATTATCTGCAGGTGGGTAAGAAGGCCTTAAAAGCTTTACAACAATACGCTAAGGTACCCTGCGGTTATGCTGCTGTCAATGATGTGCGTACGGGTAAACATGAAGATCGTATGGACTCGTTTGTTTTGTCTGAAACCTTTAAATATCTCTATTTACTATTTACGGAACCGCAAGACTTAATACTAAATGTCGATGAATTTGTTTTCACAACTGAAGCTCATTTACTGCCACTATCTCTAGCCCAATTGGGCAATTCCACTTACAGTAAGTTTATCTACTTAAGTTTACTTTAACTATTTATTTTAATCGATTTTCCTTATCATAAAGATTTCCGTCAATCGGAGGAACATAATGTCTTGGATTTCATGCGCACCTGTCCCTCTTCGAATAAGCTTTTTCCTGAGAAAGTACGCAAGCCGTTACGAAACTTCATTTCCGGTTCGTGTCCGCGTACACCGTCGACGAAACGTTTACGGGCATTGGACTTTCAAGCAAGTAATGCTGATCATTTACGAGCTGTTTATGACATGGGCATTACAATGGTTTCATTAGGCGATGGCAAGGTGCGACTGTTTCATAGTTTTTATAATGTGAGTTATCATTTTCACTTTTCTTTTTAGTTTTTTTTTTTTTTTTTGTAGATTTCTCTCTCTTTCTCTGGTACTTTTATTACTTTGTTGTAGTTATGTTTATTTTTAAATTTAACTTATTATTTTGTTTGTAATATTTGCTTTTTAATATTTGTTAAGTATTTTTATTAAAATTTTCTTAAATTTATTTTTAACTATAATTTAGGCTAAATCTCCCGAAGATGGTGAAATGGGTCTGTTATTTATGCAGGAAATGTTGGAATTAACTAAACTACAATCGGTGAATCAGTTGGCACAATTACAGGTAAATGCTTCATATCTAGTATAGTCTAGTATATAGCCTAGTCTATAGTCTAGTCTAAAGTCTATTCTATAGTGAAGTCTATAATCTAGTCTATAGTCTAGTCTACAGTCTAGTCTACATTCTAGTCTTTAGTCTAGTCTATAGTTTAGTCTATAGTCTAGTCTATAGTCTAGTCTATAGTCTAGTCTATAGTCTAGTCTACAGTCTAGTCTACAGTCTAGTCTAGTCTATAGTCTAGTATAGTCTATAGTCTAGTCTATAGTCTAGTCTATAGTCTAGTCTATAGTCTAGTCTATAGTCTAGTCTGTAGTCTAGTCTATAGTCTAGTCTATAGTCTAGTCTATAGTCTAGTCTATAGCCTAGTCTGTAGTCTAGTCTATAGTCTAGTCTATAGTCTAGTCTAGTCTAGTCTAGTCTATAGTCTAGTCTATAGTCTAGTCTATAGTCTAGTCTATAGTCTAGTCTGTAGTCTAGTCTAGTCCATAGTCTAGTCTATAGTCTAGTCTATAGTCTAGTCTATAGTCTAGTCTATAGTCTAGTCTATAGTCTAGTCTATAGTCTAGTCTATAGTCTAGTCTATAGTCTAGTCTATAGTCTAGTCTATAGTCTAGTCTATAGTCTAGTCTATAGTCTAGTCTATAGTCTTGTCTATAGTCTAGTCTATAGTCCTTGTCTATAGTCTAGTCTATAGTCTAATCTATAGTCTAGTCTATAGTCTTAGCTCTATAATCTAGTCTATAGTAATCAAGTCTAATCAGTCTATTCTATAGTCTAGTCTATAGTCTAGTCTATAGTCTAGTCTATAATCTAGTCTAGTCTACAATCAAGTCAACAGTATATTCTATAGTCTAGTCTAGTAGTCTATAGTCTAGTCTATAGTCTAGTCTATAGTCTAGTCTATAGTCTAGTCTATAGTCTAGTCTATAGTCTAGTCTATAGTCTAGTCTATAGTCTAGTCTATAGTCTAGTCTATAGTCTAGTCTATAGTCTAGTCTATAGTCTAGTCTATAGTCTAGTCTATAGTCTAGTCTATAGTCTAGTCTATAGTCTAGTCTATAGTCTAGTCTATAGTCTAGTCTATAGTCTAGTCTATAGTCTAGTCTATAGTCTAGTCTATAGTCTAGTCTATAGTCTAGTCTATAGTCTAGTCTATAGTCTAGTCTATAGTCTAGTCTATAGTCTAGTCTATAGTCTAGTCTATAGTCTAGTCTATAGTCTAGTCTATAGTCTAGTCTATAGTCTAGTCTATAGTCTAGTCTATAGTCTAGTCTATAGTCTAGTCTATAGTCTAGTCTATAGTCTAGTCTATAGTCTAGTCTATAGTCTAGTCTATAGTCTAGTCTATAGTCTAGTCTATAGTCTAGTCTATAGTCTAGTCTATAGTCTAGTCTATAGTCTAGTCTATAGTCTAGTCTATAGTCTAGTCTATAGTCTAGTCTATAGTCTAGTCTATAGTCTAGTCTATAGTCTAGTCTCTAGTCTAGTCTTAGTCTAGTCTATAGTCTAGCTATAGTCTAGTCTATAGTCTAGTATAGTCTAGTCTATAGTCTAGTCTATAGTCTAGTCTATAGTCTAGTCTATAGTCTAGTCTATAGTCTAGTCTATAGTCTAGTCTATAGTCTAGTCTATAGTCTAGTCTATAGTCTAGTCTATAGTCTAGTCTATAGTCTAGTCTATAGTCTAGTCTATAGTCTAGTCTATAGTCTAGTCTATAGTCTAGTCTATAGTCTAGTCTATAGTCTAGCCTATAGTCTAGTCTATATTCTTGTCTATACTCTAGTCTATAGTCTAGGCTATAGTCTAGTCTATAGTCTACTCTATAGTCTACTCTATAGTCTTGTCTATAGTCTAGTCTATAGTCTAGTCTATAGTCTAGTCTATACTCTAGTCTATAGTCTACTTTATAGTCTTGTCTATAGTCTAGTCTATAGTCTTGTCTATAGTCTAGTCTATAGTCTACTCTATAGTCTTGTCTATAGTCTAGTCTATAGTCTAGTCTATAGTCTAGTCTATAGTCTACTCTATAGTCTAGTCTATAGTCTAGTCTATAGTCTATAGTCTAGTCTATAGTCTAGTCTATAGTCTAGTCTATAGTCTAGTCTATAGTTTAGTCTATAGTCTAGTCTATAGTCTAGTCTATAGTCTAGCCTATAGTCTAGTCTATAGTCTAGTCTATAGTCTAGTCTATAGTCTAGTCTATAGTCTAGTCTATAGTCTAGTCTATAGTCTAGTCTATAGTCTAGTCTATAGTGTAGTCTTTAGTCTAGTCTATAGTCTAGTCTATAGTCTAGTCTATAGTCTAGTCTATAGTCTAGTCTATAGTCTAGTCTATAGTCTAGTCTATAGTCTAGTCTATAGTCTAGTCTAGTCTAGTCTATAGTCTAGTCTATAGTCTAGTCCATAGTCTAGTCTATAGTCTAGTCTATAGTCTAGTCTATAGTCTAGTCTATAGTCTAGTCTATAGTCTAGTCTATAGTCTAGTCTATAGTCTAGTCTATAGTCTAGTCTATAGTCTAGTCTATAGTCTAGTCTATAGTCTAGTCTATAGTCTAGTCTATAGTCTAGTCTATAGTCTAGTCTATAGTCTAGTATATAGTCTAGTCTATAGTCTAGTCTATAGTCTAGTCTATAGTCTAGTCTATAGTCTAGTCTATAGTCTAGTCTATAGTCTAGTCTATAGTCTAGTCTATAGTCTAGTCTATAGTCTAGTCTATAGTCTAGTCTATAGTCTATTCTATAGTCTAGTCTATAGTCTAGTCTAGTCTATAGTCTGGTTCATAGTCTAGTCCATAGTCTAGTGTACAGTCTAGACAATCCCAATCAATTCAATTTAAATTTGTTTTTTTACTTCCGCAGGCTGTTGCTTACACCGTCGATGACAAATCAACCGAATGGACCGCCCTAATGGCTGGACCATCACACTTTACACCCGAATTAGTAGACGATGAATTTGTTGAGGGTGAAATTATTATGTCCGAACCCCTAAGAGCCTGCACCGATACCCTAAAAAATGCCGAACAAGTACGTGGCAAAATCCTAGTAGCGGAGCGCGGTGAATGTACGTTTGTAAGTAAAGCACGTTTAGCACAAAAGTCGGGTGCTTTAGCGTTAATTGTCTGTGATAATGTACCCGGTTCATCGGGTGAAACACAACCCATGTTTGCTATGTCTGGTGATGGCAATAACGACGTTAAAATCCCTGTTGTTTTCATGTATTCACAAGAATTTACGAAACTTTCAACGGTTATGCAAAGAAAACCACATTTGAAGGTAAGATTAATGCAAATGATAGAATTTAAACGTTGGCAATTGGCGAAAGAAACTAAAGCGAATGAGACGAGCACAGAGACAACAACAACAACGACTACAGCAACGACGCCTACTAAAAAAACGAAACCTGATAAAGAATTGTAGTGATTACTTTAAATATTTTAAATTCTTATAAATATATTTTTTTTTGTTTAGGTAATTAATTTGGAAAATAACTATTAATACAACCTATACATATATCATTATTAATTATAGTTATTATACATATATAGCGGGGGATTATATGCAATGTTCTCCATCTTAGATTTGGATGAAAAAGGCGAATTTGTTAGAATATTTTGTTTTTGTTTAGCTGCAAAATAAGTTATCTTAGCAAGTTTGGACATGATTAACAAGAATCCGTCAAAATATTTGAAATCGTTTGCCTCTATTTGAAATGTCAGCTATTTTCTTAAAAATCGGTCAAAATATTTGCCATCGTCTGAAAGGTTTTCGAGATATCAAAATATTTGATCATTTTCAGTTGCAAAATAAGTTATCTTAGAAATTTTGGGAACGCTAAACGCGAGTATCCGTTAAAACATTTAAAATCGTTTGGATATTGAAATACTTTAAAATTCCTTCCTGGATATTGAAATTCCTTTAATTTTGATTTTGTTTAGTGGCAAAATAAGTTATCTCTGAATTATTGAACATGCTAAAAAAAGAATTCTTTCGAATATTTGAAATCATATGGATATTTTTCGAGTTATCAGCTGTTTTATTGCAAATCCGTTGAAATGCTTTATAATAAAGTTATTTTTAATTCTATTTAGTGTCAAAATGAGTTGTCTTAGAAATTTTGCACATTATAAACGGGAATTCGTTCAAATATTTGAAATCGTTTGGATATTTTTCGGGATATTAGTTGTTTTATTGCAAATTAATTTAAATACCTTAAAATTCTTATAATTTTGATTATGTTTAGAGGCAAAATAAGTTATCTTTTTAATTTTGAACATGCTAAACGAGAATCTATCAAATTATTTAAAATCTTTTGGATTGTTTACCTGATAACCGCTGTTTAGTTGCAAATCTGTTGAAATATATTAAAATTCAAGTAATTTTGATTATGTTTAGATGCAAAATAAGTTATCTTAGTAATTTTGCACATGCAAAACGAAAATTCAAGTATTTTTGATTATGTTTAGTTGCAAAATGAGTTATCTTAGTAAGTTTAGACATTCTCAACAAGAATCTTTCAACTTTTTTCTTAAAATGCAACTATTTTAAATTTTGTTTAGTAGCAAAATAAGTTATCTTAGTAATTTTTAACATCCTAAACAACAATCCGTTGAAATATTTGAATTCGCGATTATCATTTTCGAGTTATCACTCGATTTATATCAAATCTGTTCAAAAGCTTTAAAATTTGTTTAGTTTAGTGACAAAAGAAGTTATCTTAGAAATTTAGCACATACTAAACTAAAATTCATGTATTTTTGATTTTGTTTAGTTGCAAAATAAGTTATGTGAGTAAGTTTAGACATTCTCAACAAGAATCTGTCAAAATTTTTTGGATTTTTCACGAGATATTAGCATTTTTTGTTGAAATGCTTTAAAATTCAACTATTTGTAATTGCGTTTAGTAGCAAAATAAGTTATCTTAGTAATTTTGACGATTCTAAACAAAAATCCGTTGAAATATTAGAATACGCGTGCATCGTTTTCGAGATATCACGCGATTTTTATCAAATCTGTTGAAATGCTTTCAAATCGTTCAATTTTGATTATGTTTAGTTGCAAAACAAGTTATCTTAGTAATTTTGAACATGCTAAACGAAAATTCAAATATTTGTGATTATGTTTAGTTGCAAAATAAGTTATCTTAGTAAGTTTAGACATTCTCAACAAGAATCTGTCAACATTTTTTGGATTTTTCACGAGATATTAGCATTTTTTGTTAAAATGCTTTAAAATTCAACTATTTGTAATTGCGTTTAGTAGCAAAATAAGTTATCTTAGTAATTTTGACGATTCTAAACAAAAATCCGTTGAAATATTAGAATACGCGTGCATCGTTTTCGAGATATCACGCGATTTTTATCAAATCTGTTGAAATGCTTTCAAATCGTTCAATTTTGATTATGTTTAGTTGCAAAACAAGTTATCTTAGAAAATTTTTGACATTCTAAACGAAAACTCAAATATTTGTGATTATGTTTAGTTGCGAAATAAGTTATCTTATTTATTTTGGACATTCTCAACAAGAATTTGTCAAAATTTTTTGGATTTTTCACGAGATATTAGCTTTTTTGTTGATTGCGTTTAGTAGCAAAATAAGTTATCTTAGTAATTTTCATGATTCTAAACAAAAATCCGTTGAAATATTAGAATACGCGTGCATCGTTTTCGAGATATCACGCGATTTATATCAAATCTATTGAAATGCTTTAAAATTAGTTTATTTTGGTTTATATTTAGTGGCAAAATAAGTTATCTTAATAATTTTAATATTCTAAACAAGAATTCATATAAAATATTTAAAATTATTTGCATAATTTTCAAGATATCATGCGATTTATTTCAATTCCGTTGGAATGCTTCAAAATTGCATGTAAGATAGAGAGGTTTGTATATTAGTCCCCCGATGTATATATATATTTTTTTATTTTTTAAATATGTTTTCCTTATATATAATTTGTTTTGATTTTGTACTATAACAACAAACGTGATCTTATAATGAATAAACACAAACAAAATTTATTAAGTTTAATAACTATTTTTCTTTGTTTTTTCTTTAAAAGAAAACTGAAAACCTGCAATATAGAATTATTTCGCAAAGGTTTTATAAGGCGTAAAATGGATTACATTTTCATAAGAAACGATATTTTAACGCTAATGCCTATAAATGTGATATATATTTTTGTATATAACGCATTAATATGTTTTTTTTTACAGAATTAAATGTGTTTTAAGAAAAAAATATTTCTTCCAATATTTTATATTGTGGAAAATGTTTTTTGTATAAAAAATAGGCAAATAGTTGAAAATTTTGAAAAAGCTTTCTAAAAATCTACTTTCCTCCTTCCATTTGTTATTATTTTTTAAATATTTGTTTTTATTTCTAAAATTGCTAACAATCAAGCTGAGCTAATTACTTTATAGTATCCAAGTAGTTAATCTAGTAATGGCTGACTGCCTTATTATTTCTTTTATAATTATAAATTGTTTCTATTCCTTTTTCACTTAAATTTAATAAAAAATATATTATTTTTGTAAATGATTAAACTTGTAAATTTAACTTTAATAAACAAGAAAAATTTCAAATTCTACTTATTACTAAATTAGTAACTAAATACTATTAAAGAATTATAAAAAAAAAAGAAGAAGCGTAGTTGTAAATTGTATACTTTTTTTTAAAAAATTTGAAAGAATGCAAAAAAGTGTGAAATTTAATGAAAAAAAAAAAACTATTAGAAAATATATTATGTACATTAGGCTTATTATATAACATATGTTATAAGAGAAATTTATAATAAAACTGAAACAAGAATTTAATTTTAAAAAACAGAAAAGCATTTTTTTTATTTACGGCGAAAATTTTAACTTGATTCAACCACACAACTCTCGTCGTGGGATGTTACTACCTCAGAAACTGCAGCGGACTTTTATTGAAAAAAATTATATTTTTTTAAATTAAAAAAAAGTGCGAAAAGTTTATTTAAAAAAACTTAGAAAACTCACCAACAACCGCCAACAGCAGAAAGGACAACCTCAGCAGCAGTGTGAAAATGTCAAAATGATGTCTGTCCTGCACGGCCAAATATTGTCCACATAGAGCGACATCTGTATCAACCGAAAGTTTTTTCCGCAGGGAAAATTTTGGCAAATTTTGCTCAAACTTCTCGTGATCATGGCGTTGGTTCAGCAATACTACCTCTCCTGACCCCTTCCTGGCAACTAACAATAACTACTGGATATTTGGCCTAGAAATCGCTAATGTACATATAATTCCGTCAATTAATAGCTTTGGGGGTGGTAATCCTCATAGCACATCTTTTGCAAGAAAATAACACAATGATACTTTATTTGCATATGCAATCAGATTAACAGTTCCATCAACGAAGAGTTCTAGTTCACTTTTAGCTTAGTTTAAATTCAGTTCTGGCTCTGTTCTAGTTCAGTTCTAGTTCGGTTCTAGTTCTGCATTAGTTTTGTTTTGGTTCTTTTCTTTATCAGTTCTAGTTAAGTTCTAATTCAGTTATATCTAGTTCAGTTCTAGTTTAGTTCTAGTTCAGTTCTGGTTCTGTTCTAGTTCAGATCAAGATCAATTCTAGTTGAGTTTTATTTAAGTTCTATTTTAGTTCAAGTTCAGTTCAGTTTTAGTTCAGTTCTAGTTCAGTTCTGGTTCAGTTCTAGTTCAGTTATAGTTCAGTTCTAGTTCAGTTCAAGTTCAGTTCCAGCTCAGTTCTAGCTCAGTTCTAGTTCAGTTCTAGTTCAGTTCTAGTTCAGTTCTAGTTCAGTACAAGTTCAGTTCTAGTTCAGTTCTAGTTCAGTTTTAGTTCAGTTCTAGTTCAGTTCTGGTTCAGTTCTAGTTCAGTTCTAGTTCAGTTCTAGTTTAGTTCTAGGTCAGTTTTAGTTCAGGAGTAGTTCAGGTGTAGTTCAGTTCTAGTTCAGTTCTAGTGCAGCCCTAGTTTTGTTCTAGTTCTGTTCTAGTTCCGTTCTGTTCCAGTTCTGTTCTAGTTCGGTTATAATTCTGTTCTAGTTCTGTTCTAGTTCGTTCTAGTTCTGTTCTAGTTCAGTTCTAGTTCAGTTCTAGTTCAGTTCTAGTTTAATTCTAGTTCTGTTCTAGTTCAGTTCTAGTTCAGTTCTAGTTCTGTTCTAGTTCTGTTCTAGTTCTGTTCTAGTTCTGTTCTAGTTCTGTTCTAGTTCTGTTCTAGTTCGTTCTAGTTCGTTCTAGTTCTGTTCTAGTTCAGTACTAGTTCAGTTCTAGTTTAGTTCTAGTTCAGTTCTAGTTCAGTTCTAGTTCTGTTCCAGTTCAGTTCTAGTTCTATTCCAGTTCTGTTCTAGTTCTGTAATAGTTCGTTCTAGTTCTGTTCTATTCTAGTTCTGTTCTAGTTCTGTTCTAGTTCTGTTCTAGTTCTGTTCTAGTTCTGTTTCTAGTTCTGTTCTAGTTCTGTTCTAGTTCTGTTCTAGTTCGTTCTAGTTCGTTCTAGTTCTGTTCTAGTTCAGTTCTAGTTTAGTTCTAGTTCACTTCTAGTTCTGTTCTAGTTCTATTCTAGTTCTGTTCTAGTTCTGTTCCAGTTCTGTTCTAGTTCTTTTCTAGTTCTGTAATAGTTCGTTCTAGTTCTGTTCTAGTTCTGTAATAGTTCGTTCTAGTTCTGTTCTGTCCTAGTTCTGTTCTAGTTCTAGTTCTGTTCTAGTTCTGTTCTAGTTCTGTTCTAGTTCGTTCTAGTTCGTTCTAGTTCTGTTCTAGTTCAGTTCTAGTTTAGTTCTAGTTTAGTTCTAGTTCTGTTCTAGTTCTATTCTAGTTCTGTTCTAGTTCTGTTCCAGTTCTGTCCTAGTTCTTTTCTAGTTCTGTAATAGTTCGTTCTAGTTCTGTTCTAGTTCTGTAATAGTTCGTTCTAGTTCTGTTCTGTCCTAGTTCTGTTCTAGTTCTGTTCTAGTTCTGTTCCAGTTCTGTTCTAGTTCTTTTCTAGTTCTGTAATAGTTCGTTCTAGTTCTGTAATAGTTCGTTCTAGTTCTGTTCTGTCCTAGTTCTGTTCTAGTTCTGTTCTAGTTCTGTTCTAGTTCTGTTCTAGTTCTGTTCTAGTTCTGTTCTAGTTCTGTTCTATTTCTGTTCTAATTCTGTTCTAGTTCTGTTCTAGTTCTGTTCTAGTTCGTTCTAGTTCGTTCTAGTTCTGTTCTAGTTCAGTTCTAGTTCAGTTCTAGTTAAGTTCTAGTTCAGTTCTAGTTCAGTTCTAGTTCAGTTCTAGTTCAGTTCTAGTTCAGTTCTAGTTCAGTTCTAGTTCAGTTCTAGTTCAGTTCTAGTTCAGTTCTAGTTCAGTTCTAGTTCAGTTCTAGTTCAGTTCTAGTTCAGTTCTAGTTCAGTTCTAGTTCAGTTCTAGTTCTGTGCTAGTTCTGTTCTAGTTCTATTCTAGTTCTGTTCTAGTTCTGTTCTAGTTCTGTTCTAGTTCTGTTCCAGTTCTGTTCTAGTTCTTTTCTAGTTCTGTAATAGTTCGTTCTAGTTCTGTTCTAGTTCTGTTCTAGTTCTGTTCTAGTTCTGTTCTAGTTCTGTTCTAGTTCTGTTCTAGTTCTGTTCTAGTTCTGTTCTAGTTCTGTTCTAGTTCTGTTCTAGTTCTGTTCTAGTTCTGTTCTAATTCTGTTCTAGTTCAGTTCTATTTCAGCTCTAGTTCAGTTCTAGTTCAGTTCAAGCTCAGTTCTAGTTCAGTTCTAGTTCTATTCTAGTTTTGTTCTAGTTCTGTTTTAGTTCTATATACAAATAACTTTCAACACACACGCACAGTTTTCAATACACATTCAATTTTATTGACTTCATGAGTTATTTTCTAGTGTTATCATAATTTTTTTGTTTTTTTTTTTTGTTTTGTTTACTTTTATAGTTACTAAATATTTAATAAGTTTTTTTGTTTTGTTTAAAACTAAATCGGTTGAATAACAAAAAAAAAATATAACTAAGATATAGAAAATAAGAAAAACGACTTAATAAATACACAAAATTAGGTTTTTTTTAGCAAAAAATAACAAATAAAAATTAAAAATGAACATTAAAAAATAATAATAATAAAAATATTATTTTTTTAAATTTTAACATAAAAAAAGAAAATATAAATAAGAAAAAAAACAAACAAAGAGAGATATAGAGCAGCAAAAGAAAAAAAAATTACTTAAGGCTAAAGTTTAAAACATTAAGAAATTATTGAAAAAATGGCTTTTAGTGTTAAAGAAGAAAGGGTAAATACCGAAACATTATAACAAGTATTAGAAAGACATTTTGAGTTAAAATTTTAACAGTTTTAATAAGAAATCTTTTAAAAAATTTACTAATTGAAAACTCGTTGATTAAAAGAAATGCTTCTGCAAAAAAAAAAAAAAAAAGAAATGTTGAAGATTTTGTTAATTTTTCCAGAATTTATTCTCGAATGTTTAGACTTTCTTAAAGAATTTATTTAACTTTCTCATCGGACAAATGTCTTCTTTAATTTCCTAGCTAACAAAGGCAACCATTATTAAACTTTTGCTAAAATTATTAAAAATTTATGAAATTTATAAAAAAAAGATAAATTATTAAAATTTAAACTAAAACTAATTATATATTTAAAAGAAAAGAAAAATTAATAAAAAAAATCCAATGTCTCAGACACAGTATTTTGTTTAAGGCGAAAAAAAATGTTTAAAAATTATTTCTAAACTATTAAAGTTATCATTTTTATACAGTTACAGTAGTTACAGTTTAATATATATATATTTTAGAAAGAAATTAGTTTTTTAAAAATATTTTACATTTTGTTTGCACATTTTGTTGTTATAAAGAAAAACAATATTTCAAATACAAAGTTATTTGGACATTGTGTCTATACTTAATACGCAAAGCTTTTAATAAAGTTTATTTTTTTTATAAATTTTAGAAAACATAATAAAAAAAAAAAGAAAAAATAAATTTTTAAAAAGTGAAATTTTGTTCAAAAGATTTTTTTTTATAAATAACAAAGAAGCAACATTTCAAATTACTTACATTAAGCACGTAAAGCTGTATATTTAAACATCCTCTTTACCAGCCGCTAATTGTAAAATATGATTAGTTATTGTATTAAGATTAAGTGTTTTCTCGTTAAGTTCTATTAATTGTGTTTTCTCACGATTATAAAAACGTTTGGCCACTCCTAACGTTTTCATAACAGTAATTAATCTGGGATTAGCACAACTAATCCATAATTCATCCTCATTGTCAGCGACCACTACTAAATGATCGACACTTTTAACAGAACTTTTAATATCTATAAAAGCTGGTGCAGGCAAGCTAATCTCCTGCAGTACTCTATATGATGGCTGATTATGTGTTACACTACAGGCTAGAGTCATTAGTTGTGGAGCTGTATCGTTTTGTATATTACGATATTGATGTAATATTAACATATTATTTTGTTCGATATCTTGACTGGCGAAATAAATGGAACCTAGATTTTTACCCATAGGAATTTCGAGATCAAAATTCATTAAACATCACCACTACGATGATCCCATATAGTGACTTGTGTCTCTCCAAAACCGATTAATTTATCATCTAAAAAAGAACAAAAAAAAAAATGGAAAAATTTTAATTAAGTTTCATTTCTAGACTATAGTCTATTCTAGAGTCTATAGACTATAGTCTAGTCTATAACCTAGTCTATAGTCCTATTTTATAGTCTAGTCTATAGTCTCGTGTATAGTCTAGCCTATAGTCTTGTGTATAGTCTAGTCTATAGTCCAGTGCATAGACTAGTCTATAGTCCCAGATAGTCTAGTCTATAGTCTAGTCTATAGTCTAGTCTATAGTCTAGTCTATAGTCTAGTCTATAGTCTAGTCTATAGTCTAGTCTATAGTCTAGTCTATAGTCTAGTCTATAGTCTAGTCTATAGTCTAGTCATAGTGTAGTCTATAGTCTAGTCTATAGTCTAGTCTATAGTCTAGTCTATAGTCTAGTCTATAGTCTAGTCTATAGTCTAGTCTATAGTCTAGTCTATAGTCTAGTCTATAGTCTAGTCTATAGTCTAGTCTATAGTCTAGTCTATAGTCTAGTCTATAGTCTAGTCTATAGTCTAGTCTATAGTCTAGTCTATTGTCTAGTCTATAATCTAGTCTATAGTCTAGTCTATAGTCTAGTCTATAATCTAGTCTATAATCTAGTCTATAGTCTATAATCTAGTCTATAGTCTATAATCTAGTCTATAATCTAGTCTATAGTCTAGTCTATAGTCTAGTCTATAGTCTAGTCCACAGTCTAGTCTACAGTCTAGTCCACAGTCTAGTCTACAGTCTAGTCTATATTCTAGTTTATAGTCTAGTCTATAGTCTAGTCTATAGTCTAGTCTATAGTCTAGTCTATAGTCTAGTCTATAGTCTAGTCTATAGTCTAGTCTATAGTCTAGTCTATAGTCTAGTCTATAGTCTGTCTTTAGTCTAGTCTATAGTCTAGTCTATAGTCTAGTGTATAGTCTAGTCTATAGTCTAGTCTATAGTCTAGTCTATAGTCTAGTCTATAATCTAGTCTATAGTCTAGTCCTATAATCTAGTCTATAGTCTAGTCTATAGTCTAGTCTATAGTCTAGTCTATAGTCTAGTCTATAGTCTAGTCTATAGTCTAGTCTATAGTCTAGTCTATAGTCTAGTCTATAGTCTAGTCTATAGTCTAGTCTATAGTCTAGTCTATAGTCTAGTCTATAGCCTAGTCTATAGTCTAGTCTATAGTCTAGTCTAGTTTATAGCCTAGTCTATAGTCTATTCTATAGTCTAGTCTATAGTCTAGTCTATAGTCTAGTCTATAGTCTATAGTCTAGTCTATAGTCTAGTCTATAGTCTAGTCTATAGTCTAGTCTATAGTCTAGTCTATAGTCTAGTCTATAGTCTAGTCTATAGTCTAGTCTATAGTCCTAGTCTATAGTCTAGTCTATAGTCCTAGTCTATAGTCTAGTCCTATAGTTCTAGTCTATAGTCTAGTCTAGAGTCTAGTCTATAGTCTAGGCCTATAGTCTAGTCTATAGTCTAGGCTATAGTCTATCCTAGAGTCTAGTCTATGATCTAGTCTATAGTCTAGTCTATAGTCCTAGTCTATAGTCTAGTCTATAGTCTAGTCTATAGTCTAATCTATATTCCAGGCTATAGTCTAGTCTATAACCTAGTCTATAGTCTAGTCTATATAGTCTAGTCTACAGTCTAGTCTATAGTCTAGTCTATAGTCTAGTCTTATAGTCTAGTCTACAGTCTAGTCTATAGTCTAGTCTATAGTCTAGTCTAGAGTCTAGTCTATAGTTCTAGTCTATAGTCCTAGTCTATAGTCTAGTCTATAGTCTAGTCTATAGTCTAGTCTCTAGTCCTAGTCTATAGTCTAGTCTATAGTCTAGTCTATAGTCCTAGTCTATAGTCTAGTCTATAGTCTAGTCTATAGTCTAGTCTATAGTCTAGTCTATAGTCTAGCCTATAGTCTAGTCTATAGTCTAGTCTATAGTCTAGTCTATAGTCTAGTCTATAGTCTAGTCTATAGTCTAGTCTATAGTCTAGTCTATAGTCTAGTCTATAGTCTAGTCTATAGTCTACTCTATAGTCTAGTCTATAGTCTAGTCTATAGTCTAGTCTATAGTCTAGTCTATAGTCTAGTCTATAGTCTAGTCTATAGTCTAGTCTATAGTCTAGTCTATAGTCTAGTCTATAGTCTAGTCTATAGTCTAGTCTATAGTCTAGTCTATAGTCTAGTCTATAGTCTAGTCTATAGTCTCTATAGTCTAGTCTATAGTCTAGTCTATAGTCTAGTCTATAGTCTAGTATATAGTCTAGTCTATAGTCTAGTCTATAGTCTAGTCTATAGTCTAGTCTATAGTCTAGTCTATAGTCTAGTCTATAGTCTAGTCTATAGTCTAGTCTATAGTCTAGTCTATAGTCTAGTCTATAGTCTAGTCTATAGTCTAGTCTATAGTCCTAGTCTATAGTCTAGTCTATAGTCTAGTCTATAGTCTAGTCTATAGGTCTAGTCTATAGTCTAGTCTATAGTCTAGTCTATAGTCTAGTCTATAGTCTATTCTATAGTCTGGTCTACAGTCTAGTCTTCAAACTTGTTATTTAATGCAACTCACCACGCATACACTCCAGATAACGTATAGTATGACGCATACTTTAAACTCTCTATACTGGCCAATGTATCCAGTTGGGGTGTTAACGATATTTACATAAACCCGAACGTGTTTTGCCCAGCAAATTTCCTGTGGCCAAGTCATAATAAAATACGTGAATCTATTAATGTTGTATAGTTCACTGAATTGATATCACGTAAATGAAGAAAACACAAAAAGGAAAACATGTCAAGCTATAGTAAACTTGCTCTAAAGAGAGACAAAAAAAACTTACCTTTGTATTGTATCCAAAGGTATGGAGTTACATTTAGCAATCATATCCTCATCATGATAATAGTAAATATTTATATACATTGACAGTAAATTACAATCACGTTGATTTTTAGGCAATTGTCGTGCGCGCATTTCTAAATAAATGGGTGTGGAATTGTGTAGACAAATGCGATTTGCATAAGGTACTGAGATTTCAAAATCTGTAAATATTTCAAAAATAAAACATCATTTCGAAATCATTTCTAATAAATTGAAATTTAGTTCTAAATAATTTTTAGTTCAGTTCATGTTTTGTTCTAGTAGTTCTGTTCTAGTTTAGTTCTAGTTCTGTTCTAGTTCTGTTCTAGTTCTGTTCTAGTTCTGGTCTAGTTCTGTTCTAGTTCTGTTCTAGTTCTGTTCTAGTTCTGTTCTAGTTCTGTTCTAGTTCTGTTCTAGTTTCTGTTCTAGTTCTGTTCTAGTTCTGTTCTAGTTCTGTTCTAGTTCTGTTCTAGTTCTGTTCTAGTTCTGTTCTAGTTCGGTTCTAGTTCTGTTCTAGTTCTGTTCTAGTTCTGTTCTAGTTCTGTTCTAGTTCTGTTCAAGTTCTGTTCTAGTTCAGTTCTAGTTCTTCCTAGTTCTGTTCTGGTTCTGTTCTAGTTTGTTCTAGTTCTGTTCTAGTTCTGTTCTAGTTCTGTTCTAGTTCTGTTCTAGTTCTGTTCTAGTTCTGTTCTAGTTCTGTTCTAGTTCTGTTCTAGTTCTGTTCTAGTTCTGTTCTAGTTCTGTTCTAGTTCTGTTCTAGTTCTGTTCTAGTTCTGTTCTAGTTCTGTTCTAGTTCTGTTCTAGTTCTGTTCTAGTTCTGTTCTAGTTCTGTTCTAGTTCTGGTCTAGTTCTGTTCTAGTTCTGTTCTAGTTCTGTTCTAGTTCTGTTCTAGTTCTGTTCTAGTTCTGTTCTAGTTCTGTTCTAGTTCTGTTCTAGTTCTGTTCTAGTTCTGTTCTAGTTCTGTTCTAGTTCTGTTCTAGTTCTGTTCTAGTTCTGTTCTAGTTCTGTTCTAGTTCTGTTCTAGTTCTGTTCTAGTTCTGTTCTAAGTTCTGTTCAAGTTATGTTCTAGTTCAGTTCTAGTTCTTTCCTAGTTCTGTTCTGGTTCTGTCTAGTTTTGTTCTAGTTCTGTTCTAGTTCTGTTCTAGTTTTGTTCTAGTTCTGTTCTAGTTCTGTTCTAGTTCTGTTCTAGTTCTGTTTTAGTTCTGTTCTAGTTCTGTTCTAGTTCTGTTCTAGTTCTGTTCTAGTTCTGTTCTAGTTCTGTTCTAGTTCTGTTCTAGTTCTGTTCTAGTTCTGTTCTAGTTCTGTTCTGTTCTGTTCTGTTCTAGTTCTGTTCTAGTTCTGTTCTAGTTCTGTTCTAGTTCTGTTCTAGTTCTGTTCTAGTACTGTTCTAGTTCTGTTCTAGTTCTAGTTCTGTTCTAGTTCTGTTCTAGTTCTGCTCTGTTCTAGTTCTGTTCTAGTTCTGTTCTAGTTCTGTTCTAGTTCTGTTCTAGTTCGGTTCTAGTTCTGTTCTAGTTCTGTTCTAGTTCTGTTCTACTGTTCTAGTTCTGTTCTAGTTCTGTTCTAGTTCTGTTCTAGTTCTGTTCTAGTTCTGTTCTAGTTCTGTTCTAGTTCTGTTCTAGTTTCTGTTCTAGTTCTGTTCTAGTTCTGTTCTAGTTCTGTTCTAGTTCTGTTCTAGTTCTGTTCTAGTTCTGTTCTAGTTCTGTTCTAGTTTCTGTTCTAGTTCTGTTCTAGTTCTGTTCTAGTTCTGTTCTAGTTCTGTTCTAGTTCTGTTCTAGTTCTGTTCTAGTTCTGTTCTAGTTCTGTTCTAGTTCTGTTCTAGTTCTGTTCTAGTTCTAGTTCTGTTCTAGTTCTGTTCTAGTTCTGTTCTAGTTCTGTTCTAGTTCTGTTCTAGTTCTGTTCTAGTTCTGTTCTAGTTCTGTTCTAGTTCTGTTCTAGTTCTGTTCTAGTTCTGTTCTGTTCTAGTTCTGTTCTGTTCTGTTCTGTTCTGTTCTAGTTCTAGTTCTAGTTCTAGTTCTGTTCTAGTTCGTTCTAGTTCTGTTCTGTTCTAGTTCTGTTCTAGTTCTGTTCTAGTTCTGTTCTAGTTCTGTTCTGTTCTAGTTTGCTTGTTCTAGTTTGCTGTTCTAGTTAGTTCTAGTTCTGTTCTGTTTTAGTTCTGTTCTAGTTCTGTTCTAGTTCTGTTCTAGTTCTGTTCTAGTTCTGTTCTAGTTCTGTTCTAGTTCTGTTCTAGTTCTGTTCTAGTTCTGTTCTAGTTCTGTTCTAGTTCTGTTCTAGTTCTGTTCTAGTTCTGTTCGTTCTAGTTCTGTTCTAGTTCTGTTCTAGTTCTGTTCTAGTTCTGTTCTAGTTCTGTTCTAGTTCTGTTCTAGTTCTGTTCTAGTTCTGTTCTAGTTCTGTTCTAGTTCTGTTCTAGTTCTGTTCTAGTTCTGTTCTAGTTCTGTTCTAGTTCTGTTCGTTCTAGTTCTGTTCTAGTTCTGCTCTGTTCTAGTTCTGTTCTAGTTCTGTTCTAGTTCTGTTCTAGTTCTGTTCTAGTTCTGTTCTAGTTCTGTTCTAGTTCTGTTCTGTCTAGTTCTGTTCTAGTTCTGTTCTAGTTCTGTTCTAGTTCTGTTCTAGTTCTGTTCTAGTTCTGTTCTAGTCTGTTCTAGTTCTGTTCTAGTTCTGTCTAGTTCGGTTCTAGTTCTGTTCTAGGTTCTGTTCTAGTTCTGTTCTAAGTTCTGTTCTAGTTCTGTTCTAGTTCTGTTCTAGTTCTGTTCTAGTTCTGTTCTAGTTCTGTTCTAGTTCTGTTCTAGTTCTGTTCTAGTTCTGTTCTAGTTCTGTTCTAGTTCTGTTCTAGTTCTGTTCTAGTTCTGTTCTAGTTCTGTACTAGTGCTGTTCTAGTTCTGTTCTAGTTCTGTTCTAGTTCCGTTCTAGTTCTGTTCTAGTTCTGTTCTAGTTCTGTTCTAGTTTGTTCTAGTTCTGTTCTAGTTCTGTTCTAGTTCTGTTCTAGTTCTATTCTAGTCCTATTGCAAGTAATTTCTAGATCACTTATTTTCTAACAACATACCAGATTCAAACGTCGCAACTCTCCCAACTGAATCCATTCACCACTAGTATTCGATTCCATATATGTTGACGATGAGGCAGGTTGTCGCATTTGATTTTACAACAATGGTCTATAAGATTTTGTTTCGGCAATGTTGATACTATTTCACCCTGCTGTAAAACGGTGTTGTGAGCACAAGCTGTTGGTTTACTTGTAGGTAACACAGATAAAATATTTATCAATTTTGAGCATTTCCAAAAGCTTACTAAGCGTTCCTGTATCACAATCAATATATCTACTTCAAGGTAAATATGAAGAACAATTCCATAATCAGATTTTAAAGGATTGCGCATGGTTTGTGTAGGCAATGGCCCGGTGTTAAGATATTGTACACCACTATTAGTATTGCATTGTGTAAATTGGTCTTTGGTTTGAATGGGTGAGGAGGCAATGACATAGGAAGCTGCATTATGTAGGGATGTTAAAGTAATAGGCGATGCCGTGGGCAAAGGTTCATGAGTTGGTCTTTCATCGTAGGTATTTGTTGTGGAGGAGACCACAACATTTTCATTTTCTAGCAAATTGATTGTGGGAATATTTGTTTGTTCTAGAGTTTTATTAGCTTTTACTGGTTCGTATAGTAATTTAGCTGATGATGTTGTTTTAAATTTTCTTTTTCACTTGTTGCTTTAACAAGTCTGGGTCTTAAAATTGTGTTCTAGTACCGTGTAAACTGAGGTTCGATCTTTGAATTTGTGATGTAAGTTTAGATTTATTAATTGCTGTATTACAGCTGCCACGCAAAGTCATGCGTGATCTCTCTAACAAAGCTGAGGCTTTAGCCATCAAACGGGTTTTCGTTTGACTATTTTGTTTATCAAGAAACATTTCCAAATCTTTGGTTTCTGTGTGAACAGTACGATAACTTTTTGCCTCATTCGAAGTGGTTGTTTTATTAGGCGGCTCATACTTTTCTTTGTTGTTGATTTGCTTATTTACAAGAGAGTTCTTTTTGTTGCTTTCGTTAATTCTAGGCGATGAACGGAGTTCCCTTTTGATTTCATGCAACGAGGCATATGACTTTTGTTTTGGTTTTAAGGTTTTTATAACAATAATTTTACGGTTACGCAAACGACGTTTGAAGGTGGGATATTTTTTGCCTTTGTGGGTTTTTAGACCTAGTTTTATATGGTTTTTGTTAAATTTATTTTCCACTTTAAGAGATTTCTTCGGGTATTATTTATTTCTGTTGTCTGTAGTTGTTGTTCTTCAGATATTGCAGTGGTTGTGGAGTGTAATTTTCCAATGACTTTACCTGTTCCTTTTTACATTCCAAGGCTTGTACTATAAAGATGCTTGGCTTAGATTTACGTGACTCCTCCAAAGCCATTTGTAATTTTTGTTGTATAATGCTGCTGGGTGTTGATGCAACTAAATGTATAGCCGGTTTAATAATACTTAGTTCATCACCATTGGAATTTTGTTCCAGTATTTCTTCTTTAAAATCTTTCACTTTTAAAAGAGGAGTAGCACTTTTGCTATCTAAGCTTTTGCTTACGGATACAGTATCTTCCACAGATTCAAGTTTACAAACAATCGGAGTTGTTTCTTGATTTTGCTTGGATTCATTAGGCATTTGAGATCTACTTCTGGTATTTCTTAAAAGTGTTTTACCACCGATAATCTGGGAGATCTTAAAATTCTTTTAGGTGTTTTCCTCGTCACTCTCAGTCTTTTGTACATTATTAATTTGCATTTTATTGTTAATTTTATTAACATTTTCATTATTCTTTTCTTCGTCGCATTCATGTTCCCCACCCTTTTCTGTTGTTTTAGTTATGGATTTACGCATTTTACTTGACGCAATAATGTTTCTCGTATAGGTTGTGTGATTTCTTTGATACATTCTTGTGAAAGTTTTGCGGCTTCTTCTTTATTTTTAGCAGCAATATGACAAAGTATTTTATTTCTGGTTCTTTCTTGATGATGCTAAACGAATTTTGAGATTTAGTTGATGTTTTTGTGGTAGAATTGTTGCTTGTTTTCTTTACAGGTTCTCTAAGAGATGTTGTGGGTTCGGAGGTTTGCGAATGGGAGCTGGAACAGAAAGGATGGAACAAATTTTTAGTAAGGAATTTATAAAAAGGGTAATATTTATGTATTAGAGTTCTTGTTTAGATCTTATTAGTTCTGTTCTAGTTCTGTTCTTGTTCGGTTCTAGTTCTGTTCTAGTTCTTTTCTAGTTCTGTTCTAGTTCTGTTCTAGTTCTGTTCTAGTTCTGTTCTAGTTCTGTTCTATTTCTGTTCTAGTTCTGTTCTAGTTCTGTTCTAGTTCTGTTCTAGTTCTGTTTTAGTTCTGTTCTAGTTCTGTTCTAGTTCTGTTCTAGTTCTGTTCTAGTTCTGTTCTAGTTATGTTCTAGTTCTGTTCTAGTTTTGTTCTAGTTCTGTTCTAGTTCTGTTCTAGTTTTGTTCTAGTTCTGTTCTAGTTCTGTTCTAGTTCTGTTCTAGTTCTGTTCTAGTTCTGTTCTAGTTCTGTTCTAGTTCTGTTCTAGTTCTGTTCTAGTTCTGTTCTAGTTCTGTTCTGTTTCTAGTTCTGTTCTAGTTCTGTTCTAGTTCTGCTCTAGTTCGGTTCTAGTTCTGTTCTAGTTCTGTTCTAGTTCTGTTCTAGTTTTGTTCTAGTTCTGTTCTAGTTCTGTTCTAGTTCTGTTCTAGTTCTGTTCTAGTTCTGTTCTAGTTCTGTTCTAATTATATCCTAGTTCTGTTCTAGTTCTGTTCTAGTTCTGTTCTAGTTCTGTTCTAGTTCTGTTCTTGTTCTGTTCTAGTTCTGTTCTAGTTCTGTTCTAGTTCTGTCCTAGTTCTGTTCTAGTTCTGTTCTAGTTCTGTTCTAGTTCTGTTCTAGTTCTGTTCTAGTTCTGTTCTAGTTCTGTTCTAGTTCTGTTCCAGTTCGGTTCTAGTTCTGTTCTAGTTCTGTTCTAGTTCGGTTCTAGTTCTGTTCTAGTTCATTCTAGTTCAGTTCTAGTTCTGTTCTAGTTCTGTTCTAGTTCAGTTCTAGTTCTGTTCTAGTTCTGTTCTAGTTCTAGTTCTGTTTCTAGTTCTGTTCTAGTTCTGTTCTAGTTCTGTTCTAGTTCTGTTCTAGTTCTGTTCTAGTTCTGTTCTAGTTCTGTTCTAGTTCTGTTCTAGTTCAGTTCTAGTTCTGTTCTAGTTCTGTTCTAGTTCTGTTCTAGTTCTGTTCTAGTTCTGTTCTAGTTCTGTTCTAGTTCTGTTCTAGTGCTGTTCTAGTTCTGTTCCAGTTCGGTTCTAGTTCTGTTCTAGTTCTGTTCTAGTTCTGTTCTAGTTCTGTTCTAGTTCAGTTCTAGTTCAGTTCTAGTTCAGTTCTAGTTCTGTTCTAGTTCTGTTCTAGTTCTGTTCTAGTTCTGTTCTAGTTCTGTTCTAGTTCTGTTCTAGTTCTGTTCTAGTTCTGTTCTAGTTCTGTTCTAGTTCTGTTCTAGTACTGTTCGGTTCTAGTACTGTTCGGTTCTAGTTCTGTTCTAGTTCTGTTCGGTTCTAGTACTGTTCGGTTCTAGTACTGTTCGGTTCTAGTACTGTTCGGTTCTAGTTACTGTTCGGTTCTAGTTCTGTTCTAGTTCTGTTCTAGTTCTGTTCTAGTTCTGTTCTAGTTCTGTTCTAGTTCTGTTCTAGTTCTGTTCTAGTTCTGTTCTAGTTCTGTTCTAGTTCTGTTCTAGTTCTGTTCTAGTTCTGTTCTAGTTCTGTTCTAGTTCTGTTCTAGTTCTGTTCTAGTTCTGTTCTAGTTCTGTTCTAGTTCTGTTCTAGTTCTGTTCTAGTTCTGTTCTAGTTCTGTTCTAGTTCTGTTCTAGTTCTGTTCTAGTTCTATTCTAGTTCTGTTCTAGTTCTGTTCTAGTTCTGTTCTAGTTCTGTTCTAGTTCTGTTCTAGTTCTGTTCTAGTTCTGTTCTAGTTCTGTTCTAGTTCTGTTCTAGTTCTGTTCTAGTTCTGTTCTAGTTCTGTTCTAGTTCTGTTCTAGTTCTGTTCTAGTTCTGTTCTAGTTCTGTTCTAGTTCTGTTCTAGTTCTGTTCTAGTTCTGTTCTATGTTCTAGTTCTGTTCTAGTTCTGTTCTAGTTCTGTTCTAGTTCTGTTCTAGTTCTGTTCTAGTTCTAGTTCTGTTCTAGTTCTGTTCTAGTTCTGTTCTAGTTCTGTTCTAGTTCTGTTCTAGTACTGTTCGGTTCTAGTACTGTTCGGTTCTAGTTCTGTTCTAGTTCTGTTCGGTTCTAGTACTGTTCGGTTCTAGTACTGTTCGGTTCTAGTTCTGTTCTAGTTCTGTTCTGTTCTGTTCTAGTTCTGTTCTAGTTCTGTTCTAGTTCTGTTGTTCTAGTTCTGTTCTAGTTCTGTTCTAGTTCTGTTCTAGTTCTGTTCTAGTTCTGTTCTAGTTCTGTTCTAGTTCTGTTCTAGTTCATTCTAGTTCTGTCTAGTTCTGTTCTAGTTCTGTTCTAGTTCTGTTCTAGTTCTGTTCTAGTTCTGTTCTAGTTCGTTCTAGTTCTGTTCTAGTTCTGTTCTAGTTCTGTTCTAGTTCTGTTCTAGTTCTGTTCTAGTTCTGTTCTAGTTCTGTTCTAGTTCTGTCTAGTTCTTCTAGTTCTGTTCTAGTTCTGTTCTAGTTCTGTTCTAGTTCTGTTCTAGTTCTGTTCTAGTCTGTTTCTAGTTCTGTTCTAGTTCTGTTCTAGTTCTGTTCTAGTTCTGTTCTAGTTCTGTTCTAGTTCTGTTCTAGTTCTGTTCTAGTTTCTGTTCTAGTCTGTTATAGTTTGTTCTAGTTCTGTTCTAGTTCTGTTCTAGTTCTGTTCTAGTTGTTCTAGTTCTGTTCTAGTTCTGTTCTAGTTGTTCGTTTGTTCTAGTTCTGTTCTAGTTCTGTTCTAGTTCTGTTCTAGTTCTGTTCTAGTTCTGTTCTAGTTCTGTCTAGTTCTGTTCTAGTTCTAGTTGTTCTAGTTCTGTTCTAGTTCTGTTCTAGTTCTGTTCTAGTTCTGTTCTAGTTCTGTTCTAGTTCTGATCTAGTTCTGTTCTAGTTCTGTTCTAGTTCTGTTCTAGTTCTGATCTAGTTCTGTTCTAGTTCTGTTCTAGTTCTGTTCTAGTTCTTTTCTAGTTCTGTTCTAGTTCTGTTCAAGTTCTGTTCTAGTACTGTTCTAGTTCTGTTCTAGTACTGTTCTAGTTCTGTTCTAGTTCAGTTCTAGTTCAGTTCTAGTTCAGTTCTAGTTCAGTTCTAGTTCTGTTCTAGTTCTGTTCTAGTTCTGTTCTAGTTCTGTTCTAGTTCAGTTCTAGTTCTGTTCTAGTTCTGTTCTAGTTCTGTTCTAGTTCTGTTCTAGTTCTGTTCTAGTTCAGTTCTAGTTCAGTTCTAGTTCAGTTCTAGTTCTGTTCTAGTTCTGTTCTAGTTCTGTTCTAGTTCAGTTCTAGTTCAGTTCTAGTTCTGTTCTAGTTCTGTTCTAGTTCTGTTCTAGTTCTGTTCTAGTTCTGTTCTAGTTCTGTTCTAGTTCTGTTCTAGTTCTGTTCTAGTTCTGTTCTAGTTCTGTTCTAGTTCTGTTCTAGTTCTGTTCTAGTTCATTCTAGTTCTGTTCTAGTTCTGTTCTAGTTCAGTTCTAGTTCAGTTCTAGTTCAGTTCTAGTTCTGATCTAGTTCTGTTCTAGTTCTGTTCTAGTTCTGTTCTAGTTCTTTTCTAGTTCTGTTCTAGTTCTGTTCTAGTTCTGTTCTAGTACTGTTCTAGTTCTGTTCTAGTACTGTTCTAGTTCTGTTCTAGTTCAGTTCTAGTTCAGTTCTAGTTCAGTTCTAGTTCTGTTCTAGTTCTGTTCTAGTTCTGTTCTAGTTCTGTTCTAGTTCTGTTCTAGTTCTGTTCTAGTTCTGTTCTAGTTCTGTTCTAGTTCTGTTCTAGTTCTGTTCTAGTTCTGTTCTAGTTCTTTCTAGTTCTGTTCTAGTTCTGTTCAATTCTGTTCTAGTACTGTTCTAGTTCTGTTCTAGTTCTGTTCTAGTTCTGTTCTAGTTCTGTTCTAGTTCTGTTCTAGTTCTGTTCTAGTTCTGTTCTAGTTCTGTTCTAGTTCTAGTTCTGTTCTAGTTCTGTTCTAGTTCTGTTCTAGTTCTGTTCTAGTTCTGTTCTAGTTCTGTTCTAGTACTGTTCGGTTTCTAGTCTGTTCGGTTCTAGTTCTGTTCGGTTCTAGTACTGTTCGGTTCTAGTACTGTTCGGTTCTAGTTCTGTTCTAGTTCTGTTCTAGTTCTGTTCTAGTTCTGTTCTAGTTCTGTTCTAGTTCTGTTCTAGTTCTGTTCTAGTTCTGTTCTAGTTCTGTTCTAGTTCTGTTCTAGTTCTGTTCTAGTTCATTCTAGTTCATTCTAGTTCTGTTCTAGTTCTGTTCTAGTTCTGTTCTAGTTCTGTTCTAGTTCTGTTCTAGTTCTGTTCTAGTTCTGTTCTAGTTCTGTTCTAGTTCTGTTCTAGTTCTGTTCTAGTTCTGTTCTAGTTCTGTTCTAGTTCTGTTTTCTAGTTCTCTGTTCTAGTTCTAGTTCTAGTTCTGTTCTAGTTCTGTTCTATTTCTGTTCTAGTTCTGTTCTAGTTCTGTTCTAGTTCTGTTCTAGTTCTGTTCTAGTTCTGTTCTAGTTCTGTTCTAGTTCTGTTCTAGTTCTGTTCTAGTTCTGTTCTAGTTCTGTTTTAGTTCTGTTCTAGTTTTTTCTAGTTCTAATTCTGTTCTAGTTCTAGTTCTGTTCTAGTTCTGTTCTAGTTCTGTTCTAGTTCTAGTTCTAATTCTGTTCTGTTCTAGTTCTGTTCTAGTTCTGTTCTAGTTCTGTTCTAGTTCCGTTCTAGTTCTGTTCTAGTTCTGTTCTAGTTCTGTTCTAGTTCTGTTCTAGTTCTGTTCTAGTTCTGTTCTAGTTCTGTTCTAGTTCTGTTCTAGTTCTGTTCTAGTTCTGTTCTAGTTCTGTTCTAGTTCTGTTCTAGTTCTGTTCTAGTTCTGTTCTAGTTCTGTTCTAGTTCTGTTCTAGTTCTGTTCTAGTTCTGATCTAGTTCTGATCTAGTTCTGTTCTAGTTCTGTTCTAGTTCTGTTCTAGTTCTGATCTAGTTCTGTTCTAGTTCTGTTCTAGTTCTGTTCTAGTTCTTTTCTAGTTTCTGTTCTAGTTCTGTTCAAGTTCTTGTTCTAGACTGTTCTAGTTCTGTTCTAGTACTGTTCTAGTTCTGTTCTAGTTCAGTTCTAGTTCAGTTCTAGTTCAGTTCTAGTTCTGTTCTAGTTCTGTTCTAGTTCTGTTCTAGTTCTGTTCTAGTTCTCGTTCTAGTTCTGTTCTAGTTCTGTTCTAGTACTGTTCGGTTCTAGTACTGTTCGTTCTAGTTCTGTTCTAGTTCTGTTCGGTTCTAGTACTGTTCGGTTCTAGTTGTTCTAGTTCTGTTCTAGTTCTGTTCTAGTTCTGTTCTAGTTCTGTTCTAGTTCTGTTCTAGTTCTGTTCTAGTTCTGTTCTAGTTCTGTTCTAGTTCTGTTCTAGTTCTGTTCTAGTTCATGTTCTAGTTCTGTTCTAGTTCTAGTTCTAGTTCTAGTTCTAGTTCTGTTCGAGTTCTGTTCTAGTTCTGTTCTAGTTCTGTTCTAGTTCTGTTCTAGTTCTGTTCTAGTTCTGTTCTAGTTCTATTCTAGTTCTGTTCTAGTTCTGTTCTAGTTCTGTTCTATTCTGTTCTAGTTCTGTTCTAGTTCTGTTCTAGTTCTGTTCTAGTTCTGTTCTAGTTCTGTTTAGTTCTGTTCTAGTTCTGTTCTAGTTCTGTTCTAGTTCTGTTCTAGTTCTGTTCTAGTTCTGTTCTAGTTCTGTTCTAGTTCTGTTCTACTTTTCAGTTCTGTTCTAGTTCTGTTCTAGTTCTGTTCTAGTTCTGTTCTAGTTCTGTTCTAGTTCTGTTCTAGTTCTGTTCTAGTTCTGTTCTAGTTCTGTTCTAGTTCTGTTCTAGTTCTGTTCTGTTCTAGTTCTGTTCTAGTTCTGTTCTAGTTCTGTTCTAGTTCTGATCTAGTTCTGTTCTAGTTCTGTTCTAGTTCTGTTCTAGTTCTGATCTAGTTCTGTTCTAGTTCTGTTCTAGTTCTGTTCTAGTTCTTTTCTAGTTCTGTTCTAGTTCTGTTCAAGTTCTGTTCTAGTACCTGTTCTAGTTCTGTTCTGTTCTAGTTCTGTGTCTAGTTCTGTTCTGTTCTAGTTCTGTTCTAGTTCTGTTCTTGTTCTACTATTCGAGTTTCTGTTCTAGTTCTGTTCTAGTTCTGTTCTAGTTCTGTTCTAGTTCTGTTCTAGTTCTGTTCTAGTTCTGTTCTAGTTTCTGTTCTAGTTCTAGTTCTGTTTCTGTTCTAGTTCATTTCTAGTTCTGTTCAAGTTCTGTTCTAGTTCTGTTCTAGTTCTGTTCTAGTTCTGTTCTAGTTCTGTTCTAGTTCTGTTCTAGTTCTGTTCTAGTTTCTGTTCTAGTTCTGTTCTGTCTAGTTCTGTTCTAGTTCTGTTCTAGTTCTGTTCTAGTTCTGTTCTAGTTCTGTTCTAGTTCTGTTCTAGTTCTGTTCTAGTTCTGTTCTAGTTCTGTTCTAGTTCTGTTCTAGTTCTGTTCTAGTTCTGTTCTAGTTCTGTTCTAGTTCTTTCTAGTTCCTGTTTCTAGTTCTGTTCGTTCTAGTTCTGTTCTAGTTCGGTTCTAGTTCTGTCTAGTTCTGTTTCTAGTTCTGTTCTAGTTCTGTTCTAGTTCTGTTCTAGTTCTGTTCTAGTTCTGTTCTAGTTCTGTTCTAGTTCTGTTCTAGTTCTGTTCTAGTTCTGTTCTAGTTCTGTTCTAGTTCTGTTCAGTTTCTGTTCGAGTTCATGTTCTAGTTCTGTTCTAGTTCTGTTCAAGTTCTGTTCTAGTTCTGTTCTAGTTCTGTTCTAGTTCTGTTCTAGTTCTGTTCTAGTTCTGTTCTATGTTCTGTTCTAGTTCTGTTCTAGTTCTGTTCTAGTTCTGTTCTAGTTCTGTTCTAGTCGTTCTAGTTCTTCTAGTTCTGTTCTAGTTCTGTTCTAGTTCTGTTCTAGTTCTGTTCTAGTTCTGTTCTAGTTCTGTTCTAGTTCTGTTTCTAGTCTGTTCTATCTAGTTCTGTTCTAGTTCTGTTCTAGTTCTGTTCTAGTTCTGTTCTAGTTCTGTTCTAGTTCTGTTCTAGTTCTGTTCTAGTTCTGTTCTAGTTCTGTTCTAGTTCTGTTCTAGTTCTGTTCTAGTTCTGTTCTAGTTCTGTTCTAGTTCTGTTCTAGTTCTGTTCTAGTTCTGTTCTAGTTTCTGTTCTGTTCTATTCTAGTTCTGTTCTAGTTCTGTTCTAGTTCTGTTCTAGTTCTGTTCTAGTTCTGTTCTAGTTCTGTTCTAGTTCTGTTCTTGTTCTATTCTAGTTCTGTTCTAGTTCTGTTTCTAGTTCTGTTCTAGTTCTGTTTCTAGTTCTGTTCTAGTTCTGTTCTAGTTCTAGTTCTGTTCTAGTTCTGTTCTAGTTCTGTTCTAGTTCTGTTCTAGTTCTGTTCTAGTTCAGTTCTAGTTCTGTTCTAGTTCTGTTTTAGTTCTGTTCTAGTTCTGTTCTAGTTCTGTTCTAGTTCTGTTCTAGTTCTGTTCTAGTTCTGTTCTGTTCTGTTCTGTTCTTATTCTAGTTCTGTTCTAGTTCTGTTCTAGTTCGTTCTATTTCTGTTCTAGTTCTGTTCTAGTTCTGTTCTAGTTCAGTTCTAGTTCTGTTCTAGTTCTGTTTTAGTTCTGTTCTAGTTCTGTTCTAGTTCTGTTTCTAGTTCTGTTCTAGTTCTGTTCTATTCTATTCTAGTTCGGTTCTAGTTCTGTTCTAGTTCTGTTCTAGTTCTGTTCTAGTTCTGTTCTAGTTCTGTTCTATGTTCTGTTCTAGTTCTGTTCTAGTTCTGTTCTAGTTCTGTTCTAGTTCTGTTCTAGTTCTGTTCTGTTCTGGTCTAGTTCTGTTCTAGGTTCTGTTCTAGTTCTGTTCTGTCTGTTCTAGTTTCTAGTGGCTGTTCTAGTTCTAGTTCTGTTCTGTTCTGTTCTAGTTCTGTTCTAGTTCTGTTCTAGTTCTGTTCTAGTTTCTGTTCTAGTTCTGTTCTAGTTCTGTTCTAGTTCTGTTCTAGTTCTGTTCTAGTCTGCTATCTTCTAGTTCTGTTCTAGTTCTGTTCTAGTTCTGTTCTAGTTCTGTTCTAGTTCTGTTCTAGTTCTGTTCTAGTTCTGTTCTAGTTCTGTTCTAGTTCTGTTTCTAGTTCTGTTCTAGTTTCTGTTCTAGTTCTGTTCTAGTTCTGTTCTAGTTACCTGTTCTAGTTCTGTTCTAAGTTCTGTTCAGTTCTGTTCTAGTTCTGTTCTAATTCTGTCTAGTTCTGTTTCTAGTTCTGTTCTAGTTCTGTTCTAGTTCTGTTCTAGTTCTGTTCTAGTTTGTTCTAGTTCTTTCTAGTTCGTTCTAGTTCTGTTCTAGTTCTAGTTCTGTTCTAGTTCTGTTCTAGTTCTGTTCTAGTTCTGTTCTAGTTCTGTTCTAAGTTCCGTTCTAGTTCTGTTCTAGTTCTGTTCTATTCCAGTTTAGTTTTTGATTCTTCAACATGCATGGAATGAAGCACTTTTTCGAGTATAATTTTGGTTTAAATCGAAAATTAATTATAAATTTCAACTCACCCCTTCATCACTTTTGATCGCTGTAACTTCCGTTTCCACTGCAGTAGGTGTAACATCATTTGCTCTATCTTTTTCGCGCTTTTGTATCTCCTTAAGTTGTTTCATTTTTAAAGCTTCCAATTGTTTTTCCTTCTTGGCAGATTTGTCACGACGTTCTTGCTGCTGCTGACGTAAGACACGCATGGAGCGTCTGGCTAAATTACATTGAGCTAATTCTGCCACAGCATTTGCCATAGCAGTAGCTGTTGACATACCTGTTAAGCCCAAATAATTGCAAAATTCATGTTGTTGATGATAGACACCAGCTAAATCATCTTCATCATCATTATTGCCCACCTTCTCTGACTTATCTGGGCTGCTAACATTTCTAAATTGTTCTATAGGTTTTGCGGTCACATTCACTAGTTCTGGAGTTTCTGGATTTCGCTCATCATTGCATGTTATGTGTTTAGTGGGTGATGCTGTAGTTTGTCTTTGAGTTTCTGTTATCGCCGTTGAATTTGCCAAATACTTATGCGGTATAATGGGTGTTTTAAAAAGTTCCTGCTTTTTTGCCATTAAACTATCGGTTTTGTTTTCGGTAGCAAAATCTAAACGCATTTGTATTATACTAGAGGGCTGTTCTTCGGGTTCATTTACTAGTGAGGAGTTGCATTTATCCCTTTCGCGATTAAGCCGGTGCAGCCGAAAAACCGAATCAATTTCTTCATCTGTAACAAGTCTAGGATTATCTGTCATGGCTTCGTTTGACTTTGTGGGTGGGACTGCTGGTTGTGTGGGAGATTTTTTGTGAACATTTTTCACTGTTACAGTAGCACACTTGTTGTTAGTTTTCAATAGCACAGGTGTAGGTACGTCTTGGCTAATGGCTTCCTCAGAACTACTGGGACATAATAACTTTTCGTGTAGTTTGATTTGTCGCACAGTGAGCTTATTGTGTCCGATTGGTTTGTTGGAATTTTGAAAACAATCATTGTCTGATGACGATGTTTGGGGTGGTGTTGTTGAGTTCTGATTTCTTTTCGGAACTTCCTTTATCAAACGTTTTTTTGGTTCTCCAGTTTCTAAATTTATTTGAGGCTTAGAACGTCTTTGTTGTAATTGCTGTTGAGCCACAGCTGAAGTTGAAGGTCTATCATCGACATGTATAACACTTTTGCTGGATTCACTGCCCGATGTTTCTATACATTTGCCACCAGCAGTACCAAAACCACTTCCAGCTCCCATCTGACCACCGGCATTATATTTTTGATTTTTTTGTTCTTTCATATTGCTCAGTATCATTTGGCGGAAAGTATAGAAATCATAGATTTTCATTTCGGTATTTTTAAGACGTCCACTCTTCTCTCTTTGTTTTATTTCCAATTTTTTCTGTTTCTCCAAACGTTTAAACTCTTCATCGAATCTATTAACATCATCCACATCACTTAATTCTTCATCACAATCCCAAGATTGGATTTTCTCCGCCAAAGTCATTTGAGGATTGCATGCGGTTATCATGGCCAGCTGACGTTCAAATGAATCGGCTGGCAGGGTATTTTTCAACAAGGGAGGACGTGGTGGATATTTACCACCACCTCTTGGTTGTTGTGGATTTGAGGGTGAACTTACTGGAAATTCACTGGTTGATTCTGTAGAGCATTTGTTATGATTAGGATTATTGAATTTTTGATGATTTTGTTGCTGACTTAGATTCAATTGAAACTTGGTATTGATTTGTTGTCTTTTTTGTTTTAAGGAATTTGTTGTTGAATCCGAATTAACTTCAACTATTTGATCCGGTGGGGTTTTTAGTTGTGTGGGCGAAATTGCTGAAATGAAATGTAAATATTGTGAAAGTCATTAATAAGAACTAGGAATGAAATAAAGTCCAGAATTTAGATTGTCTATTTCAGTCCTAGTTTAGTTCCAGTTCAGTTCTAGTTCAGTTCTATGTATTTCAAGTTCAGTTCTAGTTCAATTCCAGTTCAGGTCCAGTTCAGTTACAGTCAAGTTCGAGTTTTGCTTCTAGTTTAGTTCCGATCTAGTTAAACTCACCATTGTAATGTGTCTCATTATCTTGCTTTTTACGTTTATTCGGTGTATGCGGCTCATAACGACATGCTGGTGTCTTTGTCGGTGTTATCTCCTCTCTAGACAAATACATTATCTGACCCTCATCACCTATGGCAATCTCTTCATCTTCGTCAACTTCAATGGCCTCAACAACTCCCTCGGAATCTTCATGATATTCATTGAAATCAATTTGTGAAGGACGTTTTAGATAATTGCTAGAATTATTAAGATCCTCTTGACTAGCATCATTTATTAGACCACTGCTATTAGGCGTAGTATAATCATCGAAACCCTCAAAGTCACCACTTTCATCAGAAGAAATATTGGTGATTTCTTCCTCTATGGTATTTTCTTCGACAACATATTCATCATCCTCTTCACTTGAAGATATGGTATGGATTTGTTGTTCAGGCAACTTGATGCCAGTTGCTGGTTGGGTATTTGCTGCAGGGGCCTCTTCTGCTGAGGGACTCAAAGAACGAGCTGTTGCTACATTTGAAGGCATAGCTGTGTTCATCTGTTGTGTAGGCTCTAGAGGATGTAGTGTAGCATGTGTTATAGTGGGTGAGGATGTTGTTATTACATAGTCATTATAACTGTCGTCCAAAGCGCCAGAGTACACATACTCAGCAGCCAACAGACGGGGCATTTCTGTTATAAATATTTATTGTTATAATTTGATGTTGTACATGAATATTTTGAATTAGGAAATACCTTTTTAACAGCAATATTATTAATTTTTTTTTTACTTTATATTTTCCCCAAATATTTACTTGTCTTTCTTGGTGGCGCCTTTTTCTTGGCTCTACTACAACACAACTTTACTAGTATGGGGGCCAACTGGTTAAATTCATTTATTTTAACACTTTGGCAACTATTTTACTAGGGAAATCTTAGTAATTTTATTGTAAATGTTGCTTTTGTTATAGATTTTATAAAAATTTCATAATTTTATCACGTCTAAATGTTATTTTTTCAATTTTTACACAAATTTTTTCTAAGTTTTGCACAGAAAATTACTTCAAGAAGAGAGATGTCTAAAATATTTTTTCTTGTTGTTCGTGTGTCTCTTTTTTGTGTAGTAGTAAGAGTCCTGCGCTAACAAAAATTAATGACGCCGTCGGCTGAAACTAAATATTTTCGAAGGCGGTTTAAAATCTGCTATAATCTGGCTATGTTTTCAGCTGTGTGTTTATTTATTTCAACGAGATTAAATAAAAACGGGATCCGAGCAATTAAAAATCGGTATTTTGAAGCAGATATTTTACAGTTGAAACAAAAAGTCAACTTTTAAATTTTTTTCGACCAAATGTCCATAATTCGAAAGTCGATTTATGGAGAACTCTTTTTCTTATTGTAATGTCTAAAAACGCACAGTCTGGCTACACTTTTTAATTATTTGTAATTGGCACCACTAACTTTAAGCGGCGAAATATATATATTTTTTCGGCTTTTAACGAAACGAACTCCAAAAATAACGTTAGTTTTTGAGTATTTTAATTTTCTTTGTTTTTTTTAAAATAAGTCGTGCTTTTTGTGTAAATTTAAATCATTTGTTTATAAAATTTGTGTTTAATGTAATTTTGTTACAATTTTGTGTTTCCGTTATGTTTACTAGTGAAAAAGTATGTTGTTGCGGGAGTTCGGCAAAAGCCAAGGCTAAATCGTATTGTTGGAGGCTGTCTTAACAGCATCCTATGAAATATGATTCGTTTATGGCATTTCAAGGAATGTTCAAAGAAAAGCTATCGAAACTAGTGTGAATTTCGAACTTGAAAGACTCATCCGCTATAATTACTAGTGAAAGAGTGCTGTTGTTGTAGTTCCGCAAATATTACGGCTAAATCGTGTTGTTGGAGGCTGTCTTAGTTTGTTAGTATGGACTTTAATATCAGCAGCATCCTATGAAATATGATTCGTTTATGGCGTTTCAAGGAATATTCAAAGAAAAGCTATCGAAACTGGTTCGAATTTCGAAAGACTCATCCGCTATAATTACTAGTGAAAAGTGTTGTTGTAGTTTCGAATATTACGGCTTAATCGTTTAGTTGGAAGCTGACATAAACATATTAATATGAAATTTAATATAAGCAGCATCCAATGAACTATCATGCAATTATGGCCACTTCAAGGAATATTAAAACAAAAGCCATGAAACTGGGTCTAAATTTCGAACTTGAAAAAGCTCATTTCGAGATAAAATCACCGGACGAGTAAAAAGCAAAGCTTGGAGGATATCACCCGCTAATTTTGCAGAAACTGAGGTATGTACTTATTAAATATATGAAACCTATTTAACAGTCAACACCTACTCTTTCCCACGAAAGATTTCTAATGTCGTACACCCGGACAAAAGCCGGCACTTTCAATAAACATAAAACTCGCAAATTCATATAAAAAAAGATTTTTATTTTTAAGTCATGTTACTTCACATAATAGCTTCGGATAGCTACGTTAATAAATATAAATTAAATAATTTCAACATAAATGAAAAGTTTAAACGAATAAATACATATGTAGATCAAAAGAGTTGTCTGCTCTTAACCCTTGATTACAGCAATAGGTCGTAGTTTAACACATTTTTTACTAATACCGGCAGCATGGCAAGTATCTACGACATCGGTGACATTTTTGTACGATTCAGGAGCTTCTTCCATGACCAGCTTGGGCGAAGCTACACGTATAGCGATACCGAGTTCATCTAATTTCTCTAAAACATCTTTATAATCTAAATTACGACGAGATTTTGCACGAGATAAAGCACGACCCTAAATAAAATAAAGAGAAAATATTTAGTATTTTATATATTTATACCTCGACTAGACTATAGTGTTGTCAATATTCCTAACTTACCGCTCCATGACAGGTAGAGCCAAAAGTTTCTTGCATGCCTTTTTCGGTACCAGTTAAAACATAAGAACAAGTACCCATTGTGCCACCCACCAACACAGGTTGTCCTGTCAATTGATAGTCGACCGGTATCAAAGGATGATTAGGGGGGAAAGCTCTAGTAGAACCTTTACGATGTACTAGTAATTTTTTCTCTTTGCCATCGACAATGTGATTTTCCACTTTTGCTATATTGTGTGAGACATCATAGATAACATGCATATCGAGATCATCAGGTGTTGTGTGGAACATCTTGGCAAATGCCTGGCGGGTAAGGAAAGTCATGGAACTGCGATTAACCCAAGCAAAATTGGCAGCGGCTGCCATAGCTTTAAGATAATCCTGACCTTCGGGTGAGTTAATGCGTGCACAGGCCAATTGCCTATCATTGGTTTCGATATTATCACGTTTCATGGCCTTTTCCATTTGTACCAAAGCATCGGTGGCCACTTGATGGCCAAAACCTCTGGAGCCCGAGTGTATCATAACACATACCTGTCCCTTCTCTTCGATGCCCATTTTGGAGGCACTCCATTTGTCATAGATTTCATCTACTACTTGAATTTCGGCATAATGATTACCAGCACCCAAAGTACCCAACTGGGGTAAACCTCTTTTCTTGGCACGTAAACTAACTTTAGAGGGATCGGCATTCAACATACGACCATATTCTTCACAATGCTCCTTGTCTTCAGCCCAAACATAGCCTTCTCTTAAACTCCAATCCATGCCCATTTCCAAAGCCTCTTCCAAATCATTGGCATTCATAGGTATAATACCCTTAGAGCCTACACCTACGGGAATATGATCAAATAAACTTTGGGCCAGTTGCTCTTTCACCGGCTGTACATCTTTTTCATACAGATTGGTTCTCAATAAACGTACACCACAGTTAATATCGAAACCCACACCACCTGGACTGACAATAGACAAAGGATCATCCATATCAAAGGCAGCCATATTACCAATAGCAAAACCATAGCCGGAATGTATATCGGGCAAACCGATGGAACGGCCCACAATACCGGGTAAAGCTGCTACATTGGCAATTTGTTTAACACCCGGCAAAAAGCCACCCACAGCTCCAGGTCTGCAGGAATTCTTCAACTCTTCCAACATTAGCTTCTCCAAATTATCGTTTACGTAGAAACATCCTTCCACTTTCATGTTCGGCTGGAAGCCCTTCTTAATGCGCCAGCAGCAATCGCTGATTTTTTCCAAATATTTCAACTCCTCGTTATAGGGTCTGACAACCATTTTTTACTATCTGTTGGCCTTCTTCCTCTTTGTTTACCAATATATACTCTATAATTTCACAACACGAACCGAGTTGTGCGGGATTATTACTATTATTTTCTTAATTTCACAACAAATTCAAGCAATTTCGTGGAAAACCCGGTATATTTTTGGTGTTCGATGTGATTAGTAATTTATTATTATCGGGGTTGAGTGCTAAAAAACCAATGTTGACAATTTAGTGAGTTTCTGTCAGCTCCAGAAAAAATCTTATTGACAGTACTGTTAAAAACTGTTATTGTGAATTTTATTCACAATAACTATATCATTCACACTTAATTAATTGTATACTCTACACGACCATCAAGGCGAATATCTACAAATTGAAATAGTGGACAAATTCCGTAAAAATCGGGTTCTTTTATACTATTCACCTATCAGAGATTCTCTTGAGAAGTTTAAATAAAAGAAAATTGCTATTAAAATAAACTCTTCAAGAATTATTAGAAAAAATTATATTTTTAATTAAATCGGCTAGTCTGTAGTCTAGTCTATAGTCCAGTCTATAATCTAGTCTATAGTCTAGTCTATAGTCTAGTCTATAGTCTAGTCTATAGTCTAGTCTATAGTCTAGTCTATAGTCTAGTCTATAGTCTAGTCTATAGTCTAGTCTATAGTCTAGTCTATAGTCTAGTCTATAGTCTAGTCTATAGTCTAGTCTATAGTCTAGTCTATAGTCTAGTCTATAGTCTCGTCTATAGTCTAGTCTATAGTCTAGTCTAGTCTAGTCTAGTCTATAGTCTAGTCTAGTCTAGTCTAGTCTATAGTCTAGTCTAGTCTAGTCTAGTCTATAGTCTAGTCTATAGTCTAGTCTAGTCTATAGTCTAGTCTATAGTCTAGTCTAGTCTATAGTCTATAGTCTAGTCTAGTCTAGTCTATAGTCTAGTCTATAGTCTAGTCTATAGTCTAGTCTATAGTCTAGTCTATAGTCTAGTCTATAGTCTAGTCTAGTCTATAGTCTAGTCTAGTCTATAGTCTATAGTCTAGTGTCTAGTCTAGTCTAGTCTAGTCTAGTCTATAGTCTAGTCTAGTCTAGTCTAGTCTAGTCTATAGTCTAGTCTATAGTCTAGTCTATAGTCTAGTCTATAGTCTAGTCTATAGTCTAGTCTATAGTCTAGTCTATAGTCTAGTCTATAGTCTAGTCTATAGTCTAGTCTATAGTCTAGTCTATAGTCTAGTCTATAGTCTAGTCTATAGTCTAGTCTATAGTCTAGTCTATAGTCTGGTCTATAGTCTAGTCTATAGTCTAATCTATAGTCTAGTCTATAGTCTAGTCTATAGTCTAGTCTATAGTCTAGTCTATAGTTCTAGTCTACAGTCTAGGTCTATAGTCTAATCTAGTCTATAGTCTAGACTATAGTCTAGTCTATAGTCAAGTCTATAGTCTAGTCTATAGTCTAGTTCTATAGTCTAGTCTATAAGTCTAGTCTATAGTCTAGTCTATAGTCTAGTCTATAGTCTAGTCTATAGTCTAGTCTATAGTCTAGGTCTATAGTCTAGTCATAGTCTAGTCTATAGTCTAGTCTTAGTCTAGTCTATAGTCTAGTCTATAGTCTAGTCTATAGTCTAGTCTATAGTCTAGTCTATAGTCTATCTATAGTCTAGTCTATAGTATAGTCTTATCTAGTCTATAGTCTGTATAGTCTAGTCTATCGTCTTAGTCTAGTCTATAGTCTAGTCTATAGTCTAGTCTATAGTCTAGTCTATAGTCTAGTCTATAGTCTAGTCTATAGTCTAGTCTATAGTCTAGTCTATAGTCTAGTCTATAGTCTAGTCTATAGTCTAGTCTATAGTCTAGTCTATAGTCTAGTCTATAGTCTAGTCTATAGTCTAGTCTAGTCTATAGTCTAATCTAGTCTATAGTCTAATCTAGTCTATAGTCTAATCTAGTCTACAGTCTAATCTAGTTTATAGTCTAATCTAGTCTATAGTCTAGTCTATAGTCTAGTCTATAGTCTAGTCTATAGTCTAGTCTATAGTCTAGTCTATAGTCTAGTCTATAGTCTAGTCAATAGTCTAGTCTATAGTCTAGTCTATAGTCTAGTCTATAGTCTAGTCTATAGTCTAGTCTATAGTCTAGTCTATAGTCTAGTCTATAGTCTAGTCTATAGTCTAGTCTATAGTCTAGTCTATAGTCTAGTCTATTGTCTAGTCTATAGTCTAGTCTATAGTCTAGTCTATAGTCTAGTCTATAGTCTAGTCTATAGTCTAGTCTATATAGTCTAGTCTATAGTCTAGTCTATAGTCTAGTCTATAGTCTAGTCTATAGTCTAGTCTATAGTCTAGTCTATAGTCTAGTCTATAGTCTAGTCTATAGTCTAGTCTAGTCTATAGTCTAGTCTAGTCTATAGTCTATAGTCTATAGTCTATAGTCTATAGTCTATAGTCTAGTCTAGTCTATAGTCTAGTCTATAGTCTAGTCTATAGTCTAGTCTATAGTCTAGTCTATAGTCTAGTCTATAGTCTAGTCTATAGTCTAGTCTATAGTCTAGTCTATAGTCTAGTCTATAGTCTAGTCTATAGTCTAGTCTATAGTATAGTCTATAGTCTAGTCTATAGTCTAGTCTATAGTCTAGTCTATAGTCTAGTCTATAGTCTAGTCTATAGTCTAGTCTATAGTCTAGTCTATAGTCTAGTCTATAGTCTAGTATATAGTCTAGTCTATAGTCTAGTCTATAGTCTAGTCTATAGTCTAGTCTATAGTCTAGTCTATAGTCTAGTCTATAGTCTAGTCTATGTCTAGTCTATAGTCAAGTCTATAGTCTAGTCTATAGTCTAGTCTATAGTCTAGTCTATAGTCTAGTCTATAGTCTAGTCTATAGTCTAGTCTATAGTCTAGTCTATAGTCTAGTCTATAGTCTAGTCTATAGTCTAGTCTATAGTCTAGTCTATAGTCTAGTCTATAGTCTAGTCTATAGTCTAGTCTATAGTCTAGTCTATAGTCTAGTCTATAGTCTAGTCTATAGTCTAGTCTATAGTCTAGTCTAGTCTAGTCTAGTCTATAGTCTAGTCTAGTCTAGTCTAGTCTATAGTCTAATCTAGTCTATAGTCTAATCTAGTCTCTAGTCTAATCTAGTCTATAGTCTAATCTAGTCTATAGTCTAATCTAGGTCTATAGTCTAATCTAGTCTATCTAGGTTCAGTCTAATCTAGTTATAGTCTAATCTAGTCTATAGTCTAGTCTATAGTCTAGTCTATAGTCTAGTCTATAGTCTAGTCTATAGTCTAGTCTATAGTCTAGTCTATAGTCTAGTCTATAGTCTAGTCTGTAGTCTAGTCTATAGTCTAGTATTGTCTAGTCTATAGTCTAGTCTATAGTCTAGTCTATAGTCTAGTCTAAAGTCTGGTCTATAGTCTCGTCTATAGTCTAGTCTAGTCTAGTCTATAGTCTAGTCTATAGTCTAGTCTATAGTCTAGTCTATAGTCTAGTCTATAGTCTAGTCTATAGTCTAGTCTATAGTCTAGTCTATAGTCTAGTCTATAGTCTAGTCTATAGTCTAGTCTATAGTCTAGTCTATAGTCTAGTCTATAGTCTAGTCTATAGTCTAGTCTATAGTCTAGTCTATAGTCTAGTCTATAGTCTAGTCTATAGTCTAGTCTATAGTCTAGTCTATAGTCTAGTCTATAGTCTAGTCTATAGTCTAGTCTATAGTCTAGTCTAGTCTATAGTCTAGTCTATAGTCTAGTCTATAGTCTAGTCTATAGTCTAGTCATAGTCTAGTCTATAGTCTAGTCTAGTCTATAGTCTAGTCTACTCTATAGTCTGGTCTAGTCTATAGTCTAGTCTATAGTCTAGTCTATAGTCTAGTCTATAGTCTAGTCTATAGTCTAGTCTAGTCTAGCTAGTCTAGTCTATAGTCTAGTCTATAATTTAGTCTATAGTCTAGTCTATAGTCTAGACTAAAGTCTAGTCTATTCTATAGTCTAGTCTATAGTCAAGTCTAGTATAGTCTATAGTCTAGTCTATAGTCTAGTATATAGTCTAGTCTATAGTCTAGTCTATTGTCTAGTCTATAATCTGATCTATAGTGTAGTCTTGTCTATAGTCTAGCCTATAGCCTAGTATATAGTCTAGTTTATAGTCTAATCTATTGGATAGACTAACTATACTATAGTCTAGTCTATAGTGTAGTCTATATTACAGTATATAGTCCAGTCTATAGTCTAGTCTAATCTAGAGTCTAGTTCAGTTCTACTTCTGTTCTAGTTTAGTTCTATTCCATTTCTAGTCCAGTTCTAGTTTAGTTCTATTTCATTTCTAGTTCAGTTTTAGTTTAGTTATGTAGTTCTAGCCGCCACTGATATGTATGTAAAAGCGCCGTCGTTCAATATAGAATAGGCTTGGTTGTCTTTTAAATATATATTATATAGTGGGAAGACAAAGACATAATATAAAAATCCTTGATCCATGGGATACTTAACACGGCCAGATAAATTTGTAGAAATTTTGGCAGTTTTTTCCCAAAAAATCGGCATTTATCGGCACTTACATTTTAAAATTCGGCAATAAATCGGCAATTGAAAAAACACTATTTTGACCCAAAGAAAAATATCTCTTTCTAAGGGTACACCGAAACTTTGTTCTACTAGAATAAGCTCGATTAGAATAAGTATATATATAGAATAGAATAAGTAGGTATAATTATTTGTTGAACACTACCTTGTAAAATATTTTCAAATTTTGGTAATGAATGATGTAGTTATTTCATACATTACTTGGCAATGAGTGGTCGTTATTAACAACATTAATTAATTTTTTTTATAGAATTTGTAAACAATTGTCCAGAGCGTATTAGAAGTTTTTTTTTTTTTAAAAATATAGTTTTTTACATTTTTGTTAAAACCATTCCAAATAGCACGCTCAATAACTTGTAAGAGCGTAAGACTTTGCTGGATAGATTTTAATAATGGGAAAAAATGTCATTATAATTATGTAGAATATTAATTTTCATTTAAGGAATTTTAAATCACCTTTCCAATACCTCTTTCGCTACTGAAGAACAATGTCAGATCTCTACGATAGCTATTCGAAATCCTACTTTTCATATACTTTTGAAAGAATTCCTCAACTTAAAACTGTACGATATTCGTCAACATTCTATGCGCGTATGTTACCCTGGCAAATTAAACTTATACCAAATGAAAAAGCTTTAGGAGTTTTTCTGCTGTGTAGC